GTCCACATCAACTTTACCTACCAGCCCTTCTTCGCCTTACCCAACCCAACTGCCCAAGCAACCCAAAGCCCCAAAGCCAAGATGTGCACCCAGTACTACTCCAGCTTCACCCGGTGCCCCTGCCAACTAAAGCGACTCTTCTGGCTCTGCAAGCACGGCCGACTATCGCCCAAATGCAAGGCCGTCCAGAAAGTCGTGCTGAAGTCCGGCGCCGCGCTCTGCGGGTACCACAAGATCGTCGCCCAGCGGCGATGGGACCGAAGCCAGCACCACTGGAACCGCCGCAGCCGCAACCTATGGGCCCGGCCTGGCCCGGCCCCGCTCTGCCGCGAGTCCGTCTCCTCCGCCATGGCCGCCGACGCGTTCATGTTCCCTCCCCCCGCCAACCCCTACGACTCTTCCTGCTGGGAGAGCGAGCCGGACCCCGACCCGGAAAGCGACGGCGAGGAGCTCGAGTCGGATACTAGCTCCGGCAGCGAGTACTCGGGTGACGAGGACTCGGAGGGTGACATGGACTGTGAGTGAGCGTGGTATTGAACTTCTCACCTGGTTGGTTGGTTGGTTGGTTGGTTACTAGTATGCTACTAGTATGTCGAGGAGAAGTACGACTCTCGCCCCCAGGCCAGTTCTACAACCGAATGCTCCCGTTCTCAAGAGCACCCTACGACCTATAGAACCAAACTAGTCGAATCGTTACGAACTGAACTGAAGATCGCGTTTGCACCTAATGTTAATATCAAGGACATCATGTCGAAGCAACTCCGTTGAAGCCCGTCTTTGCAATGTGCTTTGCTTCTGTTTTCTGGTTTGCCTTAGTTGTTGATTGGAAGGACTCCTCCCTACTACGTCAAACGATGAAGCAGTCTGTGGCGATGTGCTATAGTCTTGCCAAGATCAAACTCCCCGTATCAGACGTATTGCTTTGCATGTAACTAGTTCGCCTACTTTTGTTTTACGATGAAGCACCCTTCTATAAAATTGAAATTCTTCAACTTGCCTTATTAATACGTTCCCAACCCTATAATTTGTGCTAAACGAATTGTCAGTTAGCAGTGGCACCTAAAGTCAAGCACTCGTTATTGTCAACTTAGTACGTAGCTCATACAGTGTCAATGAAATAGGAGACGTTTAAATACAGTACTAACCCAGGGACTTGGAGATGTGCAAGACTTTTGGCATGGACCTTCGTAGACTCCTACAAGAGGCTTAAAATGCGAGTAACGATTCTATAACTAAGTTGTGTATATCAAAATTCTTGACCTTCGTATATTCTATGATTTCAATAGGACCCAGACGCCTGACTCCTCATCAGGAATTGGGTACTTCTCAAAACAGCAAGTCGTCGAGTGCTTATCCTCCCTTAGCCCCTTTTCCAATAAATATTACCATATGCCCCGTGCTATCGTTAATAGAAGTACCACCCATTTAAATTATTCCGTCTACTTGTATCGCTTCGGCTTACATCTAGGAACGGGGTATATCGATGTCCTGAACTCCAAGATACTCCGTTGTCCTATGCCTGATACACCCAATCTATTTCCAACCCGGTTCTCCAGGATACCGCCTACCACCAACACCCGTTAATATAGGGCTCTGCCTGCGTTCTTTATATCGTCTTCGGTCTCGCAAATCCCTTTCGTCAGCCGTGACAACTCTCCTCCCATCCCAGTCCAAATCGGAATCTCGATCCCTATCCCTGCGATCCCAGGTGTAGTCTCTACTTCTCCCCGCAATATCGGTATGGCTACTCGCTCTTCTGGGCTCTGCTGGTCGCAGATATACCCTTTCTCGACTTCTCCTCCTCTCTAACTCTTCTTCTCGTTCACGCTCCCTCAAGCGTTCCTTTTCAATGACTCGATCGCGGATCCGTTCATGCTCGCGGTCGCGTCGTAGCGGATATTTAGAAATACCTGCTTCAGACTCGTCGCTAGGATATGACTCCCCGGAAACACTTCGGCTGAGTCGTGACGAATGTTCTCTTCGAAAGCGCACGGTCGGCGCAACATTTGGCGGCTGGCGCTTCTCACGGGAATTACTTCGTTGCCGCTCAGAGGATCCTGCAAGAAAGGAGGTAAACTTCTGCTTTATTTCTGATGGCAAGCTTCTTCTGCGAACATCATCCGACCGTACATCTGGCCGTATTTCGCTACGATGGGAACGAATCGGAATAGGTGGCGTTATAGGAGTCACAACTGGCACACGGCGTATGATAGGGGGAGCCGGTATAGGACCGTGTGCTCGCGACTTGGAGCCAGCACGTCGAGGCGATACGTCTGAGTCAGAATCTGATGGTGAGGCGGAATAGGGTTTTGATTGGCTATGATGGTGTGGAATATGCGGACGGCGAGGAACATGATGGTTCGAAGGACGGGGATCATCCATCTCGGAACGGCGAACCTCTGAAAAGCTTGGTCGTCGAGGTGGCCGATCCGGCGAGCTACTGCTTCGACCGCCAAGAGAACTGCTGCTACTGTGGTTGCTGCTCTTCCGTCGCTGCCTTGGTGGTACGTTCCTGGAAAAATAAGGATCGGCATAATTACTTCTCGACACATGGGCATACGAGACGGGCCGTTCTCGTTGAAAATAATCCATTTCCGGTCTTTGGTGAGGCGTGGCGGTATTACTTTGCGGGTTTCGCACATGCGTGAATGTGGTATGAATCCGAGGTTCAGAGTCACGCCGTCTAGGTGGGTGTTCATCTTTGGGAGTAGCGTCTTCCCGTAGCTTTCGCGCGCATTCCTTATGCCAAGCATCTGTCTCGGGGTCGCATTCGGCTGGAAAGGCCTCTGCTGGTAGATCAGCTGGAAAGGGTTTTCCGGTGCCGGGGTGTACTAAGGCCCAATTGCGCACAGCGAATTGCATGAATGGCACATGTTCTTGGGGTTCCAGGAGAAGCTGGATCGTCTCCCATCGTACGAACCCATTCAATGTTAAAGCCGGAACAGCGGGTGCTTCAAAGGGATTCTCGGACGGTTGCAACGTATGCTGGACGCCCAAAGCTTGCCAAATGTAAGATATGGATTTATAGGGGCAGTGTAGAAAGAGCTGGTCATAGTCACCACCGACAGCACGATAAAAGGCGGCCAATTTTGTCGGGGTTAGTTCATGGTCATTGGTATCGCCAATGTTGGCAGACTGTAGAGTCTTCGAGTTAGCGAAACCACTCTACATAGGTAGGTATCTAGGTAAGCAAGGATATGCGAAAATAAATAAGACTTACAATGTATTTTCCGATAGCGCGGAGTAGCGCATCGAGGATAGGGGTCGGTAATTTTCCATTAAACATATAGCCATAGTATTCCTTCGCATTGGGTTCCGACGCCCTCGAATGCGATGGCGAGTTTGGTTGGGACTGCGGCTTGGGATGAGGTGTATCGTTAGAAGTCGCGGCGGCCGCGGTGGGCTTACCGTCGTCAGCCTTTAAGCTCGCCATCTCTACTTGTTCATAAGAAGCGTCGATGACGAGTGGAAAAGCATTGAGAAGCGAATCGAATCGGAAGCAGTGAAGGTGGTAAGAGAGAATGCGAACACGTTGAATCAAGAGACTTGTTTCGGAAATAAAAGCGCAAATTGGATTACTTGAATGAGATAGACTGGATAGACTGGATAGATGGAACTGATGGAACTGATGGAGCAGATAGAACAGGCAGATTGTCGATCCTACAACGTTCAGGGGGTAGATGATGACTGTGTCATTCGCGAATGAACAACGACTGGAACCGCTGCTTCACAGAAAATAAGGCAACATTCAGAATAATATAAATTGTGTGGGAGATATGTAAGTAAGGTAAGTAGATTGATATAGTTATATGTAGGCTATTGGCCAGCCTCGACGAGACAGACGATCAACGAAAGGAGTCGAATTCATCTAGAGTTGTACGGATACAACTACAGATGATTCATAGGTAATGGCATGGCATAGCCGTATATGTAACCGTGGATGGCTGGGTTCTTGTTCTTGGAGGAAATATTCGGCGCACTGCATTTTAATTTGAATGGTGGGATACGGTGGGATACGGTGGGATATGGTGGGATGTATTCGTACCTATACTTCGTACAATACATATCAAGGTCGACAGGCTTCCAAGGTTCCATACCTAGGTAGGTAGGTATGTAATACCTGTTAAAAAGCGTTAAAAAGCATGGGTTAAAGATGGAATTGAGCAAGGGCAGGTTTTACAGAAAAAAGAATACCCCGCGCCAAATTGCCTGCTGACACGTGCACCCGGAATATACGCCTGACGTAACTAGTGGAATAGTGTACCTAATAGGATTTGTACCTGCCTAACCAAAGGCAAATGATGCCATGGAAAATAAAATTTGATAAGCCCAGCAGGATTTAGGTAATACATGTACCATTTACAGGTATTTGCCTCAATTAGGTATATTGTCCTACTCTGTGTCCTAATCAGACATAATAAGAATAGGACATGAGTATTCGTACAATACATATACAATATTTCACATTTGTACGAAGTATAATACCGATAATTCCGCCTTGTTAGGCCAAAATAAGTGCGACATGATGATGCACACTTTGTACGCCCATAACCGAACACATGTATGCTAGTACCCGAATCTTGCACCACGGCCGCCACTTACATCTTCGTATCATTTTATTTATTTCGGTATCTCGTCCAACAACTCCATCAACTCCAACAACTCCAAATCAACCAATCCCAAACCTGCCGCAACGTTCCGGCGTATATCGCTCATCAAAGGCGATTACTCATTATCCCTGTCCCTGCAACATACAAACAATCTGCCAATCCAATTCCTACCCAAGAATTTAATTCGGGTATACCTAACAGCATTTCTGAATTATGGCTGTGTGTGCATACATACATAGTAGCTCAGCCATATATTTATTATACGATAGGTAGGAAGTGCACTAACTATTCCCAATCCCTCGGGACCATTATTCTGCAGCGGAAGAAATTATAGATGTCCTATGAGCCGCGCTCTTGTCCTTTCATTGGCAAGGCACTTTCTTCAATATTGTCCACTTTCTTCAGCATTGTTCAAAATCGCCAACAGTTTGACCATTAGACATGCCATTAAGATGAAGCTTTGACTTTTTGGCCGGGTGACTCGAGTACGAAACCAACAAGAGCAATGTCGTCTATAACACCCACTCGTGTATCGGGCTCAGTCCACCTTGTAAATTTTTGGAATCCAGCCTTCTCGAGGACATGTTTACTGGCCAGGTTCTCATCATCGGCTATTGCTGACAGCATTTCCGGTACCTCTCCGGATCTATCCACCGATTCTGCAGCCACCTCAATCTCAGCCTCGGATCGTGGTAAAGTCCACCAATGGTCTACAAATGCCCTTAGGAATTCCGTGGCGTAGCCCTGCCCCCAATACTCCTTCTTGAGCATGTAACCAACCTCGGGCCATCCAAAGAGTAGATCGGTTTTCGGCATCCCACCCATCCCGATTAGTTCTCCGGTCGAGGCGAGGCAAAGTACGTTGTGATAGTTCCGGATATCGTTAGGCGGTAGGTAGCAGGCCAAATACGATGTCCGTGTCTCATCTTTGCTAGCATCAATCTGGCCAACCGCCGAGAAGTGCATAACCTCCGGTTGAGTACGTATAGCATAGATCGCGTCAAGGTCTTCCTCGGTAAACGGACGGATAACTAGGCGTTCCGTGCGGATAGGTTTCCTCTCTGCATTGGGTGGGAACGGCTGTGTGGGCAGATACGTCTTGACTTTGATCTTCGGAGGTCTTGCCATCGTGAGCAAGCTAATCTAGCGCTGAGTTTGATCTTGATTCTTATTGTTTGTCAACTTCACATCGGACTTTTTTAGGGTTTAAATAAAGATTCAACATCATCTACAGCCTATATGAGTTAACTCGTGATCTCTTATATCCGAGTGCCGTAGGATTCCAGCTCCGAAGTGACTCATAACCAAATCTGAGTTGCCTCCCAAAAGGGAATGGCGTGCATGTTGTCTTCAGCTCTGTTGGTGACGCGTTTACATCTAATGGATGCATCCCTAAGCCGTCGGTATTACCTAACTTATATAAGAGCACACATGTAAGAAGAAACAATCTACTTGATAAAATGTGTAGGTACCTAATAACTGGGTGTAAATACGACTCTACGCTACCCTTCTACTTGCCTACCTAATATATTAAATTATACACTTACGATATGATATATTATATAAAATTTACTCGAAGGTTTAGGGAGATGTACCCTTTTTACTTTTATATGAGCCCGGTTATGCCTGACGGTCTTTAATGTCTTGACCGGTGTTCAGTCTTGAAGTATAAAAGTGGAAGAGCCGTATAGTACCTTTTGCAAGTATACCTGCTAATTTAATCGACATGTCAGTTCTCGAATTTGTCAGCGACGTCTCGTCTTATTGAACAAGACTTAGACGTCTTGGCCTTGGATCAAGCCCTATTAGACCTGATATCAAGGACTTTTAGATGATGAAACTGATGATGAAGGAAAGGAATGACTTGTATTAAAAGTGGATGATACTATGTAAAATAGGTGTGTGCGACCATAAATAGTACTTATCCCCTTAACTGGCATAAGACTACAACCCCCCCTGTAATCGGTATTATATAAAATTAGCTTATAATATACGCGTAATAAATCTACTTTTATTTAAACCTAAGGCTTTTGATTGGTCGGAGGCCCCTTATGATCGATGATACGAAAGGATATAAAATTAATTTTTTAAAATCTTATTTTTTTAACATTATTTTTTTTAAATAGTTTTAAATTGTTATATATTAATAATCTCGTTTTTAACCCGCTTTTAACGTATTATTGTCATTTTTAATGTTTTTTAATAATTAAATAACTTTATAACATCTTAATATCGATGATATTATTATTTAATTTAACTTAATTATTATATAAAGTAATAAAATAAACTTTATAATTAAATAATTAAAAACCTATATTAATTTTAATATAAGTATATATTTTAAACTTTAAATAACCAAATTACTTAATAACTTTATTTAAAAACTTATTTAATTATTAAAAGATTAAATAAATATATTATTAAAAATAAAGTTAAAAAAATATAAATTTAATATTAAAACTTATTAAAAAAGTTTAAAAATAACGTTAAAAAGTAATAATACCGTTAACGTATTAAATTTGTAAAAACATTATTATTTAAAAATAACTTTATTAAAAATTAATTAATTTAAATAAAAAGATTTTAAATAACTTTATTTATAAATTAAATAATTATTTATAATTTAAAAAAATATTAATATAATTAACATAGATTAAATTAGGTATAAAATTAAATAGTTTAATTTTATTGGTTAATAGCATTAAAATTAGATTATTTTGTAATATTGTATTAAAAATAGTGGAGGTGTAGTTTTATGCCAGTTAAGGGGATATTAAGAATATGATCACATGATCAGGGTCAAGGTCACCTGATACACCAGCACCAGTTCATTATAGAGACAAAGCTAAATACATAATTCTCCATTTGTGGCGTCCAATGACATACCTAGCAATCTGCCCTTCCGATCGCAGCGGGGAAACCATTGAAGATTCCTACACGTCTGACTGAATGCCTAATACACAAAGTAAGAAAGGATCGATTTAATGAACAAAGGACTAACAAAGGCGAGATGGCGGTTAGTGTTTTAAGTTGACTACTCAGCAGCGAGTAACTTTGCTAAACAGTACCCAGACTCCTCCTAGAAAATTATCTGAAGTCTCAAGTGTCAAGATTCAAGTCGGAGAAACAGAGCATCTCGTCAATATCAATGACTTTCCTTACTTCAAGGCCTTTATAGATTTCCAGCAAAAGTCCGGCCAGGATACTACTCCCGTGCCGACTCATGGTGACATCCCCTTTTTCGATGTCATCAACTACGGAGTATCTAACGGATTCCGACACTTCTTCCGTCGCATGCCTGTTCAGCTCTCTGACTACCATACACTCTGCGAAACCCTCGAGTTCCTTGCTATCGATGTCCTCGCAGGGCAAAAGCTGCGTGATATAATGAATGATCTGAGGAAGTGCAAATCCGATTACGATTACGATGGGACTGAAATTAAGGGGCTAAAAAGCATTGCACGAGACGCAGCTTTTAGGCTCCTATATATATTTCTCCTTGGTGAGTTCGAATCAGAGATCCGGGACAGGGCAATGGCCTACAATACGGCCCTGTTTGTGTTATCCCACCCTGGAACTTTCAAGCAGAGAACCCGGAAGATGGTTCGAGAGGCGTTTGAGGAAAGATTTCTTGTCACGGAGAAACAGAAAAAAGGGCTAGACGAGTGGCCTATCTCTGATGCTTCTAAGGACATTGAGGACCTAGAGGAGGGTAGTACTACTGACGAAGACTCTTATTACCTTTCCGACTCTGACTGTGCATACTGGGACTCTGACTGTGGATACTGGAACTCTGACTGTGGATACTGGAACTCTGACTAGATGCGAATGTATTTTGCTATGTATCAGGTGCTGGTACGGGATGAGTTGGTGCAAGTGAAATTGGCATATCTTATAAAGGCTCAAAGGGATACTGAATACATGGCTTTAAACTAAACTATATAATGACGTATAGAGAACACTCTGATTGGGCAGTATTGGTCTGGGACTTTATAGTTCAGGAATAGGAGACACTTAATTACAGCGGTTGGTAGGATCCAAGAACAAAAACCAAGTAAGAGCATATTTAATAATTAAGCTTGAAACGGTAATACTTTTAAGTATCTCATAACCTAGAGACGCATTGATGGACTTAGCCCCGAAGCTATTGCTGAAGAGGAGACTGGTGCCCCCTACACCTCTCTATGGTTTTCCAATACCTACTGATATTAGAGAATTCTAGATTAGTTTTCTACATACTTCTAGCTATGGTCTCCTTAGGAACCATCCTAAGGATTTTGTTCACATACGATAAAGATTAGGTACCGCTTTACCCCTAGTCCCCTTAAAGGGGAATATGGGATATAGTCACGTGATTGTACAGCTCCTCCATATGAAAATATTACCTTAGGTACCTAATTTACAAAACCATTGATGAATTTACACTTCGTATTTATTCTTCAAACGAGTTCCAACCTGAGACAATTTGCGTCAATTATATTTCGTCTTTCGGTTAGGGAACGCCCTCGAGTGCTATCCTTCATAGCCCCTGTTAAAGGAGGAGTTGATGCCTGAAATACATGTGGTCCAGGTAACCAAATGGGAATCGGGCGAAGTCAGAGAGAGTAAACTTACAACATCCATAAACAATCACATCTCCTATTTCAGCATACTTTCTGGAACCTCATGCCTCATGGCATTGAACTTCTCTGCTAGAAAAGCCTCAACTACATGGCAAGATGCGGTGCAGTCTTTTCTCTCAAGTCTTGGGCCCAGCGAGCGCGCCGCTTTCCAGGTACCGACAAGTCCGGATGATTGCATGGCTGTTCTCCTAGCGACTCAGCGTCGCAAGAGCAAATTGACGCGGATCCTCGAACTGATGAAGCCTGCGATTGAGCCTCTTAAACGATTTGAAAGCGCGGTCGATGTCATCGTTCAGGTCAACGCGGGAATCGCGTCCCCGATATGGGGCCCGCTGAGGATTGTCATAACGGTGAGCGGCACTTTGCCTGGACGCCGAGTAGCTGGAAGCGACTAATGACGGCCATGCCACCCGAAGCTCTCTGCAGACCATTTTCGCACACTGGAGAGCATTGCTATGATTATCCATAGAATCATTAGTTCGCTGCAGAGATTCTCCAAGTATGAAGAAATGTTCGAAAAGAACAGGCTTGTTCAAGACGCAATAGGGGCGCTCTACTGTGACTATATAGACTTCTGCGTTAGGGTTACAAGATTCTATTCGGCCTCGTCTTTCCGTAGGCTACGTCCATCGCTAATTGATTGCATTTTACCTGACGCTTAGCCAGGGACCCTCTTCGTCTCCTTCGATAAGGACTTCCACGATGTTGCCGAGAACATCCAGCTTCATAGCCAAAACGTAGACTGGGCGGCCCATACTGCGCATATAGAAGAAACACAGCGAGAGGCAGAGAACGCAAAAGCCGAAAGACGAGGTATGGTGCCTAACCTAAGACACACCGTAGATGTTCTCTTCTAAACTATCACAGCGCATGAAAGAGGTAATATCCAGAGATGGTTGTCGCCGTCGACTGTCGATGACGACCTCCAAAAACACTTGGATGATTGCATACCTCAGTCATGCAACGGGTTATTAGCCTCTCGGCAATTTCAATCATTCATCTCTTTGGACGATGATATAAGTAAACCTCCTATCCTTGCATTGCAAGGGTTGCCTGGGAGCGGGAAGACTACAGCAGCAGCCTTCATCATAGACCAACTGAAGAAAAAAGGATTCAAAGTGTTATATTTCTTCTTTAAAGCTAATGATGTAGAGAAGCGTACATTGCTGAACTGTCTTCGAACACTCTTAGCTCAATTAATCCGATTAGAGGAGCATCTCTACGATCTTGCCGAGCCGTTCTACCAAGAAAGTGGCCGAGTGGTAGCCGACTCATTAGCTGAAATACAGCGAGCTTTATCAGCTGCACTCCGACATTCGAAAGCAGACCAAATATTTGTGGTTCTCGACGCTCTTGATGAGTCTTCAAATAGTATAGAAGTTACGCAATGGTTTACAACCTCTCAGGACAACAACGACGGGCCACAGCTCCGAATACTTATCACCTCTCGCCCTTCTCCATCCTTTTCAAGATCCTCTGACTCGTCCTGGACGATTCTCAAAATGGGGAGCTTTGAGAACGCGAGCGTCAACTCATACATACTCTCCCGAGTTCAGAAAAATCCAATCATTCGTGACACAAAAGTTGGGGCGCTGGTCGCAGACTACGTCACATCGGCTACGAGAGGACTTTGGCTTTACGCTCGATTGATGATGGATGATATTGATAGACTCCCTTCGGCCGGTCAAATCCAGAAGCAGCTGAGTGTTCTTCCGAGAGGCTTCACCGAGCTGTACACGCAGATAATCAGAACGACAGAGGCAAACTACAATGCGATTGAACTGAAGCTAGCCCAGCAGCTTCACTTGTGGGTTGACACCGCAGATTACCTTCCGGGATTCTTAGTTTTGAGGGATGATCGAATCGGATACGGAACTTTGGAATTAATATTTCAGTACGCGAACGATGGTGAGATAGTCCATGACCCAGCGGTACAAGCTAGTCGCGTGTCAGGCCCTCTCATTGAAATTTTCAACGACGAAACCATAGAGCGAGTGGATTCTCAGGCTTACGAACTCGACTTCATTCATTACACAGCAGCCCAGTATCTGAGCGAGAGCAACGATCTACCGGCCGCGCAGCTACCGCTTACTCTACGCCCGCGGCGTCTTCGGCATCTACACCGTGCTGCCGTCGCGGTCTGGTATTTCACAGAGTGCAAGCAGTCAGAAGAGACGCTCCTGAATCTACAGTGGAGCGAGGGGAGACCTACAGGCTCCTTGATGAGGTACTTCGAAATGGCATATGGACTTTGGAATGCCTTCCACCTAGTCGAGTTTCCCGACATCCAAGACGACCAAGAGGCGGCCGAGGCGGAGACTTTACTGCAAAAACTAATCAATTTCATCTCAACGCCGGCATGTTTACGCTGGGTCGAGTGCGCCATCATCATCAATTATAAGGGCAAGTTTCCGCATCTGTTATGGAATGCTGCCAAAGGTGTATGTTTTATCCCCTACCCCTTCCCTCCTGGTTCACCTCAAAGGTCAGCACGCTCGACCAAGAAGCTATCGCTTTCAATACGCCCAAACCTCCTCTGCTCAAAGTTCAACAACATAACCACTAACTCCGATTAACAGTGGGAGGCGGGCAAGGATAACGAAAACCACCAGTTCGCACCATACCAAGCTTTCTCCAAGTCTCGGGTACGCTTCTTCCAAAACTACGTCCACGTCCTAGCGTTGGCGGGCGTAGGGGCAGAATCCGCCCCTCGTGAGCTTTTAGATTCTTCGAAAGACGAGCTCTTACGGGATGAAGTCGCACATGAGATTTTTCGTCTGGGGGAACAATGGCGACGGCTTGCATTTCCTGGTTATAGATAGGAATTGGATATCCCCTGATTCCAACCGCACCGCAGGGGGTCGAGGATTTGGTTAGATTTATGCCATGTTCGAAGTTCGTTAGGCTTGGTATAGGTATTCTGCAGGTTTCGGGCTCGGGAAGTCTCCCTCGCAGGTAGATAATGGATAAAGAGGCTATTAGTATGGCTCGGTTATTCATTGTGGTCGATATGGGATAGAGTGAAAGAGAATGCTGTGCCTAAATCGAAGTTCAAAGGAAGGAAACATGCTATCTTGGTGCTGAACAAAGACTCAGAGCAGCTTCGCGCATGGTAGCAAGGTTACGTGCGGTGCTATACATAGATGAATTATGAAAGACTGCTTAAAAGTGCATTGATGATGCCCGACTCGAGACAATAGGTGATTCTCATATAAGAAACTGGTCACGCCTCTCGTGAGCGGAGAATCATACATTTTCTCAAGTGTTCGTTTCCTTGTCTCCTATCAACTCACCCAAGTCATTTCGTGAACATCACGATTTTAGTCTTTAGTACATTCATTTCACAGCACAACGCCCTATTGGCCTTCTTAAACCAAATTCATACAAATATACTATAACTACATCAACTTACCACAAAACAACCATTGCCAAATACAATTCATATATTCAAAAATGCAGTTTGCCGGTATCATTCTCTTCGCGGCTGCAACTTTAGGTGGCGTCATCCCGACAGCGCACCACGTACGAACGGGTTTCCATGCCATCGCCCGCGACACTGCCGATCAAGTGCTGAAGCCCGTAAATTTCGCACACGTCCAAGAAGATAGGCGAAAAGTGCAGCTCGGCTCGAGGGGAAGTGGTAACTAGGCTGGGCTGGATCCCAACTTAACTAGGCCCTCACACTCGCTAGGACAGTCATGAAAATACATTAGGTACATATATAATATACACAGGAAAGCAACTTTAGGCCTTTTCAAAAGGAGTTGAACCATTTGGTTCTTGAGGTTGCAAGATAAAAGTAATTATAGAAACTTCAAGTCGTTAAATCATCTTAGCCACTTGTGTAGCCGGGGTCGTATTAGTACATAGAATCCGGTAGAATGTGATGTAATATAGAAAAGAAAAACCGAGCAAGATTAAATAGAACCAACGGCCTCAACGGCGTACTTGGGAAATGTGAAAGTGAGGCGAATCAAAATGCATCGTTGGCAATGCCCCTCTTTTCAAGGCACGTAGAATTTTGGAAGCATAGGTAAATAATGTAAAGGTTGAACTTGATACTCGTGAAGCTGATAATGCCAAGCAAGCAGTAAGATATGCAGCAGCATGGGGAGAAATTGGAAGTGTGCCATAGAAATATAGAAAGTTGATACGCTGGCTTCTTTCTTATCTTAACAAGAACCGTAGAGAGCTTGTGATAAAGGAACATTAAGAAAAGGGTAGAAGAAGGCACCTGCATGATGGGATTATCCCGGGAAAGGATCGAAACGGCGTATGCAGCCCCGGGGACTTGGAATGGCTCCATTTTCGACCCACCAACACTTTCATGCTGCAGCTTCTTTCTAGTGTCGTGCTTCTAGATGAACATATTCAATTGGGACAGACTATGCGATCCTGGCAGGAACTTGAACTTGAACTTGCGTATTGCTGTTGATCTGTCGACACCTTAAGTGGTCATGAAGGATCTTGTGCTCTGGAAATAGACAATAGGCAATTAATCCGAATCTGAATGACGATGGATGGCCCATCTTGTCTTACCCATTGGGTAACACAGTACAAACGGGATAGGCAAAAAGGATTGGTACGTCGTCAGATGGAAGAGGCCACCATCCCGGGGGGAAAACCCCTGAGACTAGTTCCAGGCTATGACTCGTCGTGTATGACGGCACGTTTTGGCACCATTCGGAGCCATTCTCCATTCTCGCCTCAGCCGGGATAACAGCCGAGTCTAGTTCTCAATTGAGTAATTTAGAGCTGCGATGCCTATTAGGGGGAATCGGATGCTGGCTAACAATAGACAGTTAAAGCTTATAATCCTATAATTGATTCTGTTGAAGTTGGCCTATATAGGTTTTTCTAAGCTTAGGAGAAAAAGTTGAAATAACTAGGTTAACCTACCTACCTAAAAGTCGAGTGCAGATTAGGTCGTATCTTAAATTCCTGCCGGCTTCTGCTGTAGCAGCTCTGCAGCTGCATCGATCCCTGTAGGCTCCCTAGCTCCCTGCTAAACCCAGCAAGTTAGCCTGACCACCCCCGCTAATCCATCCCTTCAGGTGCTTGGCCCCCTTTCTATGGCACCCTAGTGGCACCTCCGACACCGAAAGAAGCAGGGAGTGGGTGTAGCGCGCTAAGCCAAAAACAATTTAAATGGACGAGCTAAGTCATGTGAAAGCGCGAGAATATCGGGTTGAGTCCGACGCGTGGGCCAACTTCCATCACCAAATTTACGTGTTTGCCTGAAAGATACGGAATTACACCAGCGTACGAGGGAAGAAATCTACGTACAGCGCCATGCATCCTCATATACAGCCTGACATGGGTCTGTCGCTATATAAGGAGGGCACCGCCCGAAAATTCCTTTCCATTCGACCATTTGCAACATTGGAGCCTCGGGCAGGTAAGGTAGGCCATTTTTATCATCTCATCATCTCATCATCTCATCATCTTGTCGTCTTTTTTCTCAAGTCTTTTTTCCATCCTCGCAAACTGCTGCATTCCATCACCCGACTTGCATCGTCTTAACTATTCCATCAGCTGGATCTCCGTGATCCAAACGCGGTTGATACGATATTCAGAAGACTATTCCTTCGGTCGGGAACATAAGATAAAATTAATAAGAGGACATTCATTCATCTACTCAAGATGTTCAGTCGACGATTTGAGCCAGCCGCGAATAAGAGTTTTTCCAAGACTCATAAGGTCAACAAATCCAGTTCGTCTTTCAGTAAAAGTAGCGGAGTCTCTAAGAGCCGGCATGAACCCCGTCAACATCGCCGCCCGGCGACTGCGACATCTTCAAATGTGCCTATGGAAACATCCCTCTCACCAACTGGGTACGTCTTTAATTCTCATATTTCATACATTTTAACTAACTCCATTTTCACAGCACGTTGACCCCTTCCATCGTCACTCTGGTCATCGGTAGTGACCAACGCATCTTCGCTGCCCACGAAGATGTTCTCCGCGCCTCGTCGTGGTTCCAGCAAGCCTTATCGAACCAGTACATGGAAGGCCAGAACTCCAAACGCATACATCTTCCAGACGAGGAACCCGAGATCTTCTCGTCCATCCTAGAATACCTATACAAAGGCGACTACTACCCTCGTCTAATCCATAACAAGCGTCGGAACTCGTGGGAGATTGAGCAGATTGAAGATGACGATCGTGGCTCGAAAGAGTCAACCGTCTACCACCACGGTGTCGATGGCGACGTTCTCAAGGACACCGTCATTTATTGCACGGCCGACAAGTATGGTCTTGAGGAACTCAAGCGGGTCGCCTTGCGCAAACAGGGTCTTCGTAAGTCATCGCCGTCATTCTAGTCAACTGCTATCTTAAACCTAGCCACTAACATATCAACAGAGTCTGGTATTCAGTGCAGCACCATCCTCGCATCGGCACGTTACGCATATGCCAACACGCCAGACTCCGACTCCAAGTTGCGAGCACATTACCTCGCTCTCATTATCCGGAGCCGTAGTACCTTCAAACGAAGCGGCACCATGCAGCTAGAGATGTTCAACGGCGGCACACAGCTCTTCTTCGACCTTTTCGTGGCCTTATGCAACCACGTCGACGACATTTCCAGCACTCAGTAAGTAGCTCTTATTCATAATGTCGTTACAGCTCACTGACATCGCTTGCTAGAAACACACCCCGAAGCAACCGTCACTTCTTCTAATGTACTTCGTCTTAGTCGTCTTAATCTCCCCATCTCATCGTCATTTTTTATTACCTATTTTATTCCACTCGGATCCCATCACATTAAAACAACCTAATGATCAACGTCTTCCTATTCCTTTTGTACTTCCTATCACCGCGTTCTGAAAGATTTTGGGGGTTCGGTTCGGGGCACAACAGCGACAAATACCATATCAGAGGCGTTCAGGATTTTCACAATGGATACTATCATATTTTCTTTTTCTTTTTCGGTCAACTCTTGTATCATTACAATCCTCGCGACATATTGGTGCGGCGAGGATATCAGAGAACCATGCTATGGTGGATTGATGGCTACGAAGTAAAATGTCGGAGAAAAAAAATCACGAGTTCTAGAGGTATCAGTGTACGAAGGAGGCCGGCAGCGCCTTTCAGCGAGGAAAGGCTGAATTACGAGGAGATCGGTACCAAAGAAAATGGAAGCAGCCTATGTTAGTTGCGGGAATTGCACTTGGAGGAAATCTTATGAATATGCCTTGTATTATTACGTTCTAGACTATCTTTGATAGCAGCTCTCTGTTTTCCACCCTGATCTTATTTGTTTCTGAGATACCAGATCAGGGGCTTTTAGAAGATAAAGCACGCAAAACTACCTAATGAATTACGTTCTTGTATATATGTATTTCTTAGCACTCCTTCACTCGAATGATCGTGAAGCTTACAATATTCGTCACAATGAAACCTCCCTCACATAATACCTTGGTAACGTTTCCTCTGCTCACCCACCCTACAGGACAACGGGTGCGTGCCCGAATGCAAATTGGATCGAGGAGCTCCCGGTGATAAGCATGCAGAGAAGTAAGCGAGCATACCGAGCAACCAACAACCATTCCGTCTCCCTTGATTTGCCAATGGCTAATTTATTCTACATTAGGTGCTACTTATTAGGTACCTATCCGTCCCAATCCGTCTGCATGTACATACATATCCCAAGCTACCTATACCCACCCCGTTTCTTGTCGTAGCTACATGTAGATTAGTTACCTACTCAAGACACAGATGCCATACCCCGGTCTCACAAGTTAAAGTGGTTGCATATGGCCCCCACTCGCGTTTTAAAGAAGCAAAGACCAAGAGGTTGTGGGAGGGATGTATGAGTCATTCGCTCCGCATCCACCCGTGCTGAGCATGGATGTAAGCCAGCAATCTCGCATAGAAGGATGGCTGGAACAAGTGCGGCGGGTCTCTTCCCCGGGATATCTTGAGATATAGGTAGGTAGGTACCTAATAAAGTCCAACAGCGCAACACATATACATATTGCAACATGAAGGCTTAGCAAAACTAATGATACATCCACTAATGATGTCCTTTGTATTCTTATTCGTTCTATAGACGAATTAAGAGGAGGCTGCAGGGCGGGATCTAATCATACCCGGATCCAGTAGCAGCACCATTCTTCCCCGCACTCACAGGTCAGCCGCATCCTTTATGCAAGGCATCTCAATATTGCTTCTCGGTCAACATCCTCTAGTTGCCTAGGCTGACAACACGTATTTAAAGTGCCGCCTACTCATCGCCTCATTCTATCAGAAGACGGACGTGCTCCTCACCTTTCTGCCCACCTTTCCGCTTCATTGACTCAAACTTTTGTCCCGGGAAACGCGCCATTCTTGCTTAGCACCACAAAACCGCGCTCGTGGGCGATATATCCCTTCATTAAGTTCTACGATAGGTTTACTCCGTTAGTGAGTCATACTCAAAAGATATTAGGAGCGTGCAAATGAAATAATACGCGCTTGCGTTAAAAGGGTCTTGGAGAAATTCAGCACCGTATGAGGCTAGACTCCTCGAGGATATAGGGCACTGGACACGCCAGACGAAAAGATCTAACAGCTTGTCGCTTGTCCCACACACCAAATAGGTCTTCTTTTAAGACTTATAGGATTTTGAAAAAAAAAAAAAAAAAAAAAAATAGCTCGTACCTTATAGATCATATTGGCTAGGAGACACTCTACCTCATCAGTATCGATGTCTCCTCCGCCGCTGATCTTTATCGCCGCAGCAAACTCGGCCACCGGTATCCTCGTGCGACGGACAGGTGCAGCACCATCCTTCCCTTCCTCAAAGCCACCCGAGATGAAAACTTTCCGAAGAAGATTTCTCAAGGCGATATCGCGGCCACGTTCTAGGGTGAGATAGATGCGTCGTTTAATGAACTCGTTTTCGCCGTCCCGTAATGCAGCATCGAATGCGCGAAGATCTGCCTTTTTGATTGCCACACCTAAAGGTAAGAAGAGTTGCTGTAGTCGTGGAAACGGCTCGAGCAATTCGGAACTAGGTAGCGTGTGTGTTGTAAGGAGATGGCACGGAATAAGATAAGTTAATATTAGCCTAAGAAGTGTAAGTATACGAGGCAGACATATGACACAGATGTATAGACGTACTCAAGATTTCTCTTGGAGTCTTTGTGGCACATATGCCAGGCTGTAGTAAGATGTTGCTCGGCCTTAGTCTCGTTAGCGAGTAACCAAATACGTTCAGGTAGAGTATCCATACCTCCACGTAATTCTCCTCGAGGAATGCCAAAACTCCTTCATAATACTTGAAGGTGACCTGCTGCGACTTGGGAAACTTGTCGAGCGTCGGCATATCTCCCCGTCCTGCTTGAATCGCCTTCAGGACATTTTTAGATAGCGTGGCAGAATTAAGCTTGAAGTAACTCTTGAACAGGAGATTGATGGCATAATAGATGCCCCATTTACGGGATTCTTCTAGCGGCGCCCTTATTCTAAGTTAGTCATAAGCCATAAAAGACTATGGGTATTTTAAGTACCTATCGTTCAAACAGGTTTGAAAGATCCTATTGAGGTGCCGTGTACAGTCCTCTAGCATCTTATGCTCTTCGTACTCTGGGTCGAAGTCGTCCTGTATGACGGTCTCGGCACTATATTCAGTGCTGGTCTTTCTCTCCTCGTCTGCTCGGATGGCAAACAGTCGTAAATACCTCCCCGCGACGTACAGGCATGGAATAGTCCAGTTCTCGAATTCATGGTGCGTATATCCGCGGATGACTTGTAAAGTTAAATTCTTCCACGCTTCATACACCTTCGTCCATGATGGCTTGGATGACTTCGACTCGTTAACAGCGAACTAGGGTCAGCTTGGCAAAGGGGCCGGCGACAAATTAAATGAAGAAAATAATAAACCTGAGGCATACCTTCGTATCATTTCGTAAACCTTCAACGGCGAGTATTTCTCCGATCGCATTCCAGTAGGAAAAATAAATCTCGAACCAACCTGTTGTCTCCTCTTGAGACAGCCTGAGACGTGAATGATCCGTGTAGAATAGGAAATTGAGGTCGGCTGTAGCATCCCGTTGATTTCCACGACCCCAAATAGACTGCAACTTCGATGCGTACGTCTGCGTATCTGGCCGAATGGTGTCAGCCAGCCGGTCACCTTTCATTCCGGCATATGCCGTCTTAAATTCCTTAATGAGCGAATCCATGGCTGTAGAGAAGAGGAGGTGCACGAGCTAGAATGAGGTGCAATGAGGATTGAAGACTAGAACGGTTCAAAAGCGAGGAATTAAACAATTATAAGGTAATTAGTTGAACATGGTATATTAGTATGTCTTTAGTTTTGTCATCTGTCATCTCCTACTTCACTAACACCTGGTTGAATGTTGGACATCTGAAAGTTGAGAAGCACAAGGTTCTTTGTAGTCCTTATGAGTTTACATTATTCTGATTGGCCCAAGCTTAAACGTAGAAGGAAACCCACTTAGGTACCTAGGAGGTATGAGACCCAATTTTCCATTCTTCCATGAATGTAGCTTTCTAGCCACATACATAAAGCAACAACACACCGCCACTTAGGTACACCCCACCTCGGATAAGCCACAGGTCACTAGGGCGGCAAACCCTTAGCACAGAAATTTCACCAAAACTTTCCTGGTAAGCGAATTCAACATCCAACATTCAGACCCGGACTTTTTCCAACTACGCACGACTTCTCGATCACGACCACATACACACCAAGTCCACAGTAGGTTGAACGCCTAACACGTTTATTGATTAATTACTGACATAATTCAAGATGGGTAAGCTACGAATTTTATTTCTTCCTCCGCATCAGCACCAAAACTAGGCCTCCAGACACGCACTGCGATATGTACGATCGATTGAAACCTCGAGCGACAATCCGAATAGAAAAACTACAACGAGGCGCACTTGATGTTGAACCGCGCTGCATGCGCATATCATCCTAGAGACGAATGGGTACACGAAAAGAAAATATGGCTGGACAAATTGGGATTTTGAATTTTGAATCAGATTCACGTACCCAGACTTTGTCACGCGAAATCTCGACAGCATGAACGATACCACAATTAGCATCAACAACTCGATATCTAGCTGCATTGGAAATCGCCCTGATTCAAACATGACTCCATTTACTCTGAAGAAAAGAAATACTAATAATGCGGGCATCAGGTCGTCTTCAGGAATATCAGGTCATTGGGCGCCATCTGCCCAGCGAGGCCAACCCTACCCCCAAGCTGTACCGCATGCGAATTTTCGCTCCCAATGAGGTCGTGGCCAAGTCCCGCTTCTGGTACTTCCTGACCAAGTTGAAGAAGGTCAAGAAGGCCAACGGTGAGATCGTCAGCTTGAACAAGGTATGCCACGAAAGCAGAATTTGCGCCAGGAAGATGATGGGAATTAACATTTGAATTAGATCGCTGAGAAGAACCCTCTCCGCGTCAAGAACTTCGGCATCTGGATCCGATACGACTCCCGATCTGGTACCCACAACATGTACAAGGAATACCGAGAGATGTCCCGAACGGATGCCGTCGAGGCTCTCTACCAGGACATGGCTGCCCGCCACCGCGCCCGATTCCGGTCGGTTCACGTACGTTACCCTCGATTCCTACTTTGAAATGACGGCTTGACTAACAAATTTCTAGATCCTCCGCGTCGTCGAGCTTGAGAAGGGCGAAGATGTCAAGCGCCCCTACATCAAGCAACTCATCACCAAGAACCTCACCTTCCCTCTCCCTCACCGTGTACCCAAGATCAACAACAAGAAGGTGTTCAGCGCCACCCGACCTTCCACATTCGCATAAAGGGTTTTTTCGTGTTGCTGTCGGGGGGATTAAGGGAATCGGGTTTGCCGGTGTTCATTACGGAATTGCGGAAAACTTCTTCATTAGCATATGTGTGCTCGGTAGATAAAGCACTAAATGCATACCACCAATGAGCAAATAAGTTGCGCTACGTGTTTCTACATGTTGTACAATGCTTTCCATTTGTAGTGTGTAGTGTGCTATGTGACGAGAGATTCTACTGATTGCTAACCTCGCTCGAGCCCGACTTAGACTGTTTGTCAGGGTCGGCCTGTGTTTCGGTCACAAAGTCATCCCAAGTACTCCAATCCGTCATGACATTCGGACCGCCAATGTCCAACATGGGTATATCAAAATTCAAATCCCTCCACCCCCATAACTCGTTCAATGCGTACGGCGACAAGCTGAGCTTTTCCAAGTCTGCCGGGACGCTGGGCTCCCTTGCATCGCGTATTTCGGCCCCGTATATGCTTTCCGGCTGTACTGCTGTAGTATAACCCCCTTCTATTGGCGGGATGCCGCTTTCTAAGCTGTTTGTTTGCACATATAATGTATCTTGTATCTGTACGTCTGAGCTATCTATAGTAGCCATTGTAACACCAGTTGTGTTTGTAGTAGCGGTAGGCGTAGTAGTATCGGCGGTGTTCGTAGTCGCCAACCTAGCCGCCTTGGCCTTCTTATACAGCTTGCGGATAGGCCGCCACAAAGTGCCATTCTTGGTGTCGGCGATGACCTCGCTCCACTTAGGCAAGACGTCCTCGACGGTCTGCCAGGCGCGGTCGACGAGCTCGCCACGGGTCTGCGTGCACAGCTCCGCAAGCGCGACAGCTAGGGGGTGCCATTGGACGTACGTGGCGACCCACCAGCTGAACCGCTCACCATACGGCCCTGTCGCAAGGTGGTCATTAAGCTCAACGATAGATATGGCCGTGCGCAGCGTCGCCTCATGCGGGAACACGTTGCCGGCTGCTCCCGCTCTCCCTTGCCGCGATGCTGAAGCCGCCTGTGGGCGCCGCCGCGGGTGCAGTGGGTACTGCATGATGAGCCATAGCTTGAGGATAACAAGACGTACCATGATAGAGGCTAGGTGTGAAGGCACATGGTTCGTGTCTGCGCCTACGACGAATTGCGCTTCAAGACTCTGGGCATGCTTCAGTGTCTCCTCGACACCCTTAGACGGCGGGCCGCTGTCTTCGATACCCGGTGCGTCCTGCGCATGCTCTACGGCTAGGAAGAGTCCTGAGCACCGCGCCGTGCATAAGTTAAATGTCATATCACTAGGTCCCTGCCTCTCGACTAGTGGGCCCCGGGAGTCAGGCCCAAAGTCGTCGTCGTTAATATTCAACGGGAGCCGCGTGTCATAGCTACCACGCGCCACAATAGTATTAGTCCCGCGGTCTTCAGATGCCCGAATGTCGAGTACTATGAGCTGCCACCACAGACGCCGCCGCATTTCCGCATGGAATGGGGAGAGATGCGCATTGCTGCTCTCATGATGTAGATCAAGCGCTTGCGCAAGACGTATGGGTAAGGAAAGAAGTGCCCACGATGCGCGCGATCCTTTGGTATTACATCGCACGCAAGCTACGTATAATGTTAGCGCTTGCAAGGTTTCGAGACTAGTACTACTGAGATAGTCAGCCCGCACTAGAAGGTACTCGAGCGTAGAAGAGTAGAGCTGGAGTAATTCCTCGCGCCGCCGGCCTAGCTGCGCAAGGCATGTCGAGGGCGACAAGCTTGCTACAGCCGCATAGTAGATAGAGAAGTGCAGGGCTTCTTTCTCCGGGGTAAGTTGTGACCGTGCGGTTTCGGGGGAGTGAGCGAGTGAACGTAGGCCCTCTCGTATTGTGGGCCGGTGGAGTATCTTCAGGATCATATCAACGTTTGTGAAGAATGTCGAGGTTAGAAATAATATATGCTGTGGGGATGGATGTTCGATATGATCGTAAGAGATACGTGGTGAGTTCCCAAGGAGCATGCCCGGTGATAAAGCATATGTGCCAGGGCTACTATTATCGTTTGTTACCGACTCGGGAGTGTCTCCCTGCAGCATTTGTTGTTCTTCATCATCCGAGTCGGTAGAAGACTCCAGGGCTTGCCTCAACCCTTCGACTTCGAGACAGAGGCTTGACCAAAACTCGCCGCTCAGATAGCGCGAGGCCTTGCTATCTTGAAACGCCTTCTTCCAATTATCCTGGGACTCGCTAGGAGCAGTCGGCTTCGTAGCAGCTCCGAGGGCCAGCGGAGCGGTGCTTAGACCGGGTGCAGAGTCTGGGACTAGCTCGGCCACATTGGCTCCTTCTAAACCGGAAGCACTAACCTTGCCCACGATGGACTCTAGCCGGCTTAAACGCTGGAGGAGGTCCAAGTTTTTGTTTGCTCGCGGTTTACGCATCCGCTTGCGTGTAGGGAATATACATTCGGCGCCAGAACGCACACAATGACTACATGGGTGTTCTCGACTGCACTTCAGCTTCCTCGCACGGCAATTTGTACAGCTCAGCGGTTTTGACTGCGGCCGTTGAGCCGTGCCCGCTGGTGGGCGAGAATCCATCCCCTCTTTGTTGTGCCGCTAGTTATCCAGAATCCAAGATTGTTAAACTGTAGGTTATTTCAATGCCTCAACTCATTGAAACCCTCATAAAATTTTAGTATAACTATATCATGTCCATTATAGAACATAAATTGAGTTGTCTTAGGAGGTTAAATATGGATATGTATAAACTGAGAGTGAGGCTGTGTTTTTGCTTAGAGAATGAGTTTCGATTCCAGGGTCCCAGTGTTTTAACTCCTTGATTAGGTACCTAACCTACCTGGTTAAGTCATATGACATACGGATACTGCATTACGTAGGGCTGAGTTTTAATACTTGATACGGTTAGTCCAGTCTAAATATGGCTAGCTCGCTGTTGCACGATTCCTAAATTTCAGTATTAAGGATTAGCGTAAGACTTGAATTCAGTTTGTATTGCGTAGCAAATTTATATTCACTAGCCGCGCCAGTTCTTTTCAAAGGAACAGCTTATTACAATTGATCATGTAGATGATACGGAGCGCAGATATCTTTCATATGTATAGTACCCTAGTTCATTCGTATAGGCTTACGCGTTCAAATTGGGATGGGGTAAAATGGAACCAGTTGTTCTCTAAAAATAGCTTCAAATTGAAGTGCCGCAGACTAAACGGTGATGATGGTAGTTTATTATAATTGTCCTTTATTATTCCAGCAAAGACTGAGAGTAAAATAACATAAATATTGTAACCTTAAATACGTACCTATATAAGTCAATCCTCTATCTTTATCAACCACCTAGGTAGGGTGGAATACCTTTTGCTATAAAAAAGGATATTAATATAGAAGTAATTTAGAGGTTATAAAGATTAACTGTTACTTGGAGACCCTAGAAATGGCTAATTAGTAAATATAGTAGTAAGGTAAAGACCTCACGAGTCATTTGCATAGGACACGAACTTCCCATAACTTTAAGATTGTCACAAGAGGTAACTAACGGCAAAGCTTCCTAGATGTTCATTTTGCCATCTGGAAGAGACTATGGAACTGAAAAGTGCTGTACCCAAGTAAAATCCTCACATCAGCATCTAAGGGACTAAGTGAAGGAGAAAAGGCTGGCCGACAAAGACTTCGACTTCTCACCTTGCCTCCGCTTGGCATGATTTCGACCTCCCATAGCTTCACCGAGGCTAGTCCCGTAACCCCTACGTTACCCAAGAATTTAACTAGGTCTGGTAAGACATGTCTAAGATGTCTCGCTGCGCTTGAAGAATACCCATAAAACGAAACTAAATGGCGGGATGAGACACGGGTAACGTTGGTAGCACGTGGCGCGAACGGGTTGGAGAGGAATCTTCAGCCATTATATCCTATGTTCACGTTCCTGCCTCCTTCAATTAATCATCTCTGGTTCTTCTGACGAGAACCTCGTGGTAGTCGACAGGGACTATAAGAGAAGCGTCAGGAGCCATGACGATAATCCTAAATTCCCTTATAGACAAATACTAAGCATCTATTACAATATTATATCCTTCTCTCTATCATCAAAACTATCACCACTTCCTCACGACAGAGACTTACTTTTTAAGAAGTTTCTCACCTAAAGCTTTAAAAATGCATCCCTCTACGCTCATTATCATCATCTCAGCAACCGCATTGGCCCTACTGTTCCCGCTTCCGGCACTAGGCGGCATAGGCGGCATATCCGACACAATTGTAGGCACCATCGACAGCCTACTAGGCACATCCAGTCACCGTAAGAGCCACGGCGGCAACACGGGGCACGGATCCGAATGTCGTCGCTACGATACCGAGCTCATCACAACATGCATAAATAAATGCGTAGACCTATGCGAAGATGGTGATGCGGACTGCAGCGCTTGCATGAAGGGTTGCTGTAAGTACCTGTCCTTATAGAAAATTTCCATTAGGGCATAGGAATTTCGAAGACTTTACTGACTTGATTATTCTCTAGCTCGTAAAAGTTCTTGCGGCAAGCCCCACGATGATACTCCCAAGACCGGCCGCCAAAATAGCACTGTGCATCTAAATGAATGAAGCATCTGAAATATATATGAACGAATAATTCTACACGGTGATAATGTGGCTCATGAAGGTTAATGAAATAGCTAAAACAATCTTGTATTTGGGACTGTGATAGGCGGGGTTACGAGATACCATCTGATGAGCAATGAGGCAGGAGGCGTTAGGACTATAAGGAGAAAAGATACTACCATTAAGCAATTAATATTTATGACTTTTTGATTTTCTTTATTTTCTTTTTTCTTTTTTTCTTTTGCTTTTATGACTTGGATATTGCGAGTGATCAGTTCATCGAGTAGTTCTTGCCAAGCACCAGTAAAATTAGGTCTAGCTGCCCCTGAATAGGTTGTCTTAGTTCCATTTGATTGGGCTTTGGAATGAGGCTTAAAATTGTGGGACTAATTGTGGCAAGTACGTGTGACTCACTAGCCTCACCTTAGGTAGGCAGCAGCCCCACCTCAGAATAATATAAATTCAAACCCACTCCCCCCAAATTTATAAAATTTCTTTCTTTTCTTTCCTCATCTTAGTGCACGGGCTTTACGCGTCACAGTGAGGAGTAATCCGAGTGCGTGTTTTTGCTAGTTGAAAACTATAACATGACCACTCCTGTTTGGCTTCGTGCCGGGCAGGGAATTTTTGGAACTTGAACCACTATGGATTCTTTTCATCATGGCTCTGTCCCTAGCTGGATGGAGGTGAGGAAGAGTGTTGGATTTTCTGGATGTTGGCAGAAGGGCGTTGCAAAAAGGTGGTGCATCTACGAGGATAATTGTTAGTAGAGGTACGCCAGCTTTTGACGCCTTTCTGGTCGATTCCAATGGCTGACTATTTGTTATGTAGAGCGGAAATTATTTTGACTAGATTTAATTTAGGACAAATCTGATATACCAATTGTCGCGTTTGTGACGACGGCCCGATGCCATGCCAACAGGAGACGTATCGCATAGCAGCGGTAGTAATATCATTGCGGGAAATATTTGTCGTTGAAAATGAAACTGAACAGCTTTTCGAAGGTACACTAAGCTACCCTACAACGCCTCTACCGCCCTCAAAGTGTTACGTAGATGCACTAGAGAGTTTATCGTCGTCGCGAACGAATTGAGTCACTTGGATCATTCTTTTCACGTGGATTCATCTGTTGCGCGACAACCGACTCCAGCGTATAAAATCAAGCATACCTTTAATTTCTGTTACTCGAAAGAAATTCTAAGGCCTAACGCAACTGAAGAAACGAACTTCGATCGCCTACGATACAATCACTACGAATAGTCGGCTTCGAAAGCAACATGGACCCGAGCATGGACATAAATACTTTTCCTACCATCGTATTCACCTCAGTCGTCGAGTACCTGGTTTTAACTGTTGGTATTTATAAGGCTGTTCGACTCCGTCTAGTGAATAGTGAGTTGGATTTTTCACTCGCGAGTATTGTAATATCTATCGATATCTAATGCATCATATTTTAGAGCTTTTCAACTCCGAGATACTATTTGCTATATGCAATAAGCAAGTCATCGACATTGATGACCCAGCTACCCCGTGGGTGTCTGAGAGGATACACCCTTCAATCAAAGCCCGAATTTTCCTGCACCGATCCCTTTCTGGTAAGGGGAAACAAGACAGCTATGTCACGACTATCACCAGTGTCAACAAGGCAATAGACCTCTTAACCCAGCAGACCGAGGAAGGTCGGGATAAACAACACCAGATCATCGCCGAGGCTATCTGTACTATGCATCCCCACAGCATCAAACGCTGGCAGAGTAGTATCAATATCAATACCCACATAGAAGCGCAAAACATTCTGAGTGGTGCTATTGTTCTCGGAAACCTGCATCTAGTTAAGTCGCTGCTTGACGCACCGAATACATTGGCCGGAGTTAATTTTGAAACTCCCTACTTTGGTCGACCACTGCAGCTTGCGGCTGTTTGGGGTCACCTACACATTGTCCGTTATTTGATCGGCCGCGGTGCTAATCCACGGGCAAATAGTTATGATAGCGAGGATGATGGCAGTCAAAACTGGAGGTTCGATGGAATGGGCAGTATTGACGACAAGCAGCGATACTATCGAAAACCTCGGGGAAGCGCCCTTCGAGCTGCTGCCTTAGGAGGGCATGAAGACATTGTGAACCTACTTCTGAAGCCGGAATATCGGCTGTCGATTTACAAAGAGGAATATTTTCGAGCGATTATGGCTGCGGCGCGCGGTGGCCATCCCAACATCTGGAAACTGCTTATCGCCTTGACGGGTAAACCCCTACACCGCTCCATAAGATTGAGAGATGAAATATTCTGGGAAGCAACTTTCCATGGGCGAGAAGAAGTGGCGCAGATGGTACTTGATTCCGGTCTGGACATTGATACAAAGCCGCGACAAGAAATGTATGTCTCCGCTCTAGATATCGCCGCAGCAAGGGGTGATATTCGTATGGTCCGGTTTTTACTTGACCGAGGGGCCTCTACAGAGCCGTCCGTGAGGATGGCTGCAAATCCCATCAAAAGCGCCGCCTCTGGTGGGCACCAAGAAGTCGTGGAGATGTTACTTGAGCATGGAGCTAACGATGAAGGGGTCTTTGAAGTTGCTACTAATAGAGGGCAAACTCGCCTAGTTAAATGGCTCTTGGAAAAAGATCCAAGCTCGATAACTATGGAAAGTAGGCATGGACAATACACAGTAGGAGTAAGTGCGTTGTTATGCGCCATACAAATTAGGAACGCCGACATCATAGCCCTCCTAGCTGATGCTGGTGTCTCACTGAAAGGAATGCCCGATACGGTATTCATACCACATGGAGCCGAGCTTCCTTCTTCGGTGTGGATAGTGAATTTACTCATTTCACTCGGGATCGTAGATCTAGATCCCGAAAAATACAACAGTTATCAGTGGACTTCGGAGGAAGACAATATTCAATCTCAGCTAATGAGGAGGAGGGTGAAGATTTCAAGACGGACATGGCAATGGGTAGGCAAGCATTGAGACTTGCACATCATCCTCTGACGCTATGCTATGGTATAACCATGCGTCTCTCAGAGAAGTTGTATTTACCTAGGTACCTCTCTTAATGATACCAATTCGAGCACGTCAGTCGGGAAAGAAACAATGTCTATAATTGTTGAAGATTAGCGACTGATGATAACCTTACCGGCGTTTGTTAATGAAACCTCTTGGCAACTGAACACCACTTCAATTGTAATTTTCGCTATCTTTCTATAGGGAACATACTGAGGTCGACAAGACTACTACATGTCGACAGACTTACACCTTGCTTTATACGGTGATTTAATGGGGGGTAGAGAAACCCCGTTTTCTCGCATAGCTTCTGCTATAGTTCAATGTATGTATAGGACTCAGGTACCCTGCTATAATAGTGCCTATGACTTGCAGTTCGCCGAGGAGTTCTACCAGAATAAAGTATTGCTGCAATGCACATAATACAAACGGGGCTGTTAGGCTATTGAAGTTGATGTGCTAACTCTGGAGTCGTACACTATAGTAATATAGTAATTCTTATCCAAGTATCCATCGCAACTCTGGCTACATATTCCGTATTGCCAACCTAGATTGATATAAAGGGTATAGTCAACTCATTCAAATTGGAAATTCCAGCCACTGGATTGTTAAAAGTATTATCAATCCAGCCCCCCGCGACTTTCCAATTAGGACTAGGTTAGCTAGGTTTTATCGGGAAATTCCTTATGTACGTCGTTCTGCTATGGGTCCCGTTGCTGTCATGTCTTGGTATGATTTGACGACGTTCGTGGGTCCTTCACCTTTCCTGGGCCTCCCCGACCTTCGCCACGAGCACGAGCGCGAAATATGCGCCATACATAGGTTTCCCGTAGCGCTCTCTGGATTGCTTGACACGTCACGTATGTATATACTACCTCGGCTCTTTGGATAGGATAGAAATTGTTATTTTTGGCTGTTACGAAAGACACTGTGGTATGGAAAAGGCGGTGTTGTGGATACATGAATTGTGTAGTTGGAGGATCTAAAGGAAGCAGAGGATTTGGTATAAAAGTATAAAATATCATGGATAGCATAATATTTATGATCTCAACGAGTTCTGCAAGCCAGGGGTTTGTGCACTTAGTGGGGCATTTTACTCAAACGCGGGTCGAATTTTCTTTTTCTTTTTCTCTTTTTAATGCGTTAATGGAAAGGCAGCATGGATTACACAGACACCCGATGTTATCATCATATGTCCGATGATAGGTACCGACGGAGAGTTCGACAGGGGGCGGCAAAACGATGCTCTACCAGGTGATAATTCGATGGAGCACTCCATTGTGGGATACGATCCTTCGATCCGATGGTTTCGGGATTCAAGAGGTCCACGTCGACCACTATGTCGGTCTTTTGATTTAGTGAAGTGGCAGCTTGAGATGGTATGCGCATGGGGGGACTGTTGGGCCGCAAGGACCACAAGGACCGCAAGGAGAGGACCGGTGGTTTGTGACGTTGCAACTCGCCCGCCAATAACCAATGGATCGCCTCGCGGATGCTACTCGACCCCAGTCGACCCCAGCGTATCGGATCGCGGCTTTATTACTAGATACCATAATTATTCAAGGCTTGGCACCCCTGCCCAAGGCGGTCAGAGTCTAGTGGCGGTCCTTTTTGTGAAGGAAGTCAAGACGATCTAAAAAAATTTTTGGCACATTCTTCTTTTAACAGACCGACTTTCTCTTTTCCCTTTTTTCTTGTTCTCTCCCATGTCGTCGTTTCGGCCAGTGAATTTCCCTACTCTATGCGGGAATGGTGCGATGAAGCCCGGCTTCCGGCCGGGCAGGATCCCGATGTCGTTGGCTTGGGGGTATGTTGGATTTGTTTACTCAACCCACCTATTCACATGTAACGGGGAAATGCTCACCATCGAACTAGACCCTGATCGCTTGTGCCGGGTCCGCATGTATCGCGGTCGTATGTTTAGTGATCCAATACCTATTTTTCTATCTGCGCAAGAGCGAGGACGTACAGCAGTCATATGCTACGAATCCGATCGATGTCGTGTTGTTAGGCGGGCTCCGGAAGCCTCTGAAGTATTTAGGTATCAAATTCGATCGATTAGAAACGCCCCAGCAAGAAGAACGAAGGTGGCCAGCGGCTTTTGATCAAGTAAAGTTGACAACCTGGAACCTCAATACATCCAGCTGCTAATATGGCTGCGTAGTATGTCAAGGCTGTCGGCGACGTCCAGCTTGCGATTGGATTTGCGGTGCTCGTGTACGGCTACATATCTCTAGCAGAGCATGGCTTGTCAATGTATCAATGGTGGCTCATTATAGGATTAGTGTAAGTAGCATCGGCAACGATAAGTTCATGACTCTTCAAAGAAGAAAAAAAAATACGTGCCTCTAACCACATGAACCAAACAGCTGGTATTCGGTCATAGCGAATCTAGCAACTACTTCATATCTGCGCGCCTATTTTCTCAAGAGGGACCCGGGCGAGCGATGGCTACGAATGATTCTTCTTATCTGCCTTATTGCGATACTTAGCTTCTCGATGGTGCCGATTTATCAGCTGAAGGAGAAGCTTGTCAATGAGCATAACGAAGAGACGCAGCGCCGGATACTCCTAGCAACGAACGTACTTTGTTATATTCCCGGATTTGGCGCCAAAGCCGACACGCCGCAGTTTCGATCCGCTGTTACACTCATAGGCATTGTTGTCGTCCTCGGTATTGTTATTATCGGATTACTGAAGCTCTATGAGAGACCCAGCAGTGTTATCTTCAAGTGGCGCGATCACTACCGCGGTGAAATGCAGCAGTCGTTTTTCGGGGATGGAGACAGCATCATAACCTGCATCCGTTGCGAGCAGCGCCACATGTTGCTCATAGTCCGACCCGTCTTAGCGTTCTGGCTGGTTCTGCGCATCTATGCCGACTTCTTGAATTCCGTCTTGACCGAAATCCTTTTCACTACGGCCATGTTCACGTGGGTTACTATTCGGTTTGTCGACATATTGCGCCTTGGCGGGAACCTCGAAGCCTATATTCACCACTGGGATTTCGGTCAGATTGTCGCGCTTGCTTTCTTTATAGCGCCTCTTGGATCGCTAGCAAGCCGCTTGTTGGGTACTCTTAGGAGACTAAAATTGAGTAATCCGTTTTCTAGGCCTTCTACTTTCCGAGACATGAGATGGCTGCCGAGCTTCACCAAAAGACCACAGCCTGAGGAGCTTCCAGACAATGACATTGAACGGCATAGCGACGGGTCAAGATCACCTCATGACGAAGGAATTAGCGAGTTGGATGGACAGGAACAACCGAAAATGGCAAAAATAGCCCAAGAACGGCGTGAACAAACTGGCCATTTGCAAAACGGCGGGACCAACCCAGCTAGGAGAGCGTATGATGTAGGCAATTACAAGGTGTTGCTGTCACCCCGGTTTGTTATCGCACTGCCGCTTGTGGGCTTCTCGAACCTGCTATATCTTGTCCTCTTATTAGTCTTACCAAGGGTACCTGAATACCCGTCGACTTCTGAGGTACTATGGCGAACCATTTTCTGGTACGTCGTTTACCAGCCCTTGCTGCTCTTCGCTTTCTTCCTCGCCGGAATGATTGTAGAAGAGAGAGTTACACGAGAAGGAAGAATGCAGTATGCCTACCGGATCATCGCCGTCATCACAGCTGTATTGTCTACAGCTGCCATCTTCGACACTCTGTATGGCCTCGGTGGCATTCCGATGTCGTATATAGGCATGGGAGCGCTCGGTTTGATCCTACTCGTCTACCTTCTTTACGGGTGCGTCGCACGACCTGGCCCCCTAGCGAAAGGCAAAGGACGTGGCAGATTTCCAAGAGCTGGAGACGTCGAAGAAGGTCAGCCACTCCTCTCGGAAGCCAGGAGAAGGATCTTACCAGATATTCGCATTTTCCCAGTTCGTAGACCGAAGCTGTGGCACGGTCCTTCGAGGAGGCTCTCGGCAAGGGGCAGGAGAAGCTATGGTACAATTGAATAAGGTTCGGATATTACGGTGAATTAAGTCATGCGAATGACGGCGGCGGCGCGATTGTTTAAAATCTACTGGGTATGTGCTCTTTGAGGCTGGGTTTGGGAAAATAAGTTTCATGTGTAGAATGAAAACGAATCACGATGAAATGTCAATTGCATTTAGGTAACATCAATTTTCAACCATCTATATCTGAATGAATATCAGAATCATGTTTATTGAGAAGTATAAGCTGCCTTGGATTAGGTACCTATTCAGGATGTCTCTAGACTGACCTCAGCTTATGATTGGCTTCTTTAAAGGCGAATTCAAGGTTCTCCCTTACGGCAAAGCATTTACATATAAGTGTAGTATGGAAATCTCGGAGGGCTACATCATAACTAGGATAGTGCAACTAGAAAAGTGAAGTCTTGGTTGCTCATTTGGACATTTTTATCCGGGAGGGAGGGGGTATGGGGTGGCACGCGCATAAATTCAGACACACGGAGGCGAATCGAGTACTTCTCACGGGAACCCCTGTGTAGTAATAGTGATTAGGACATAAAAAGAAAAGAGTCGAAAAGAAAGGCGAAAATATGTCACATATTCATACCTTTCTATATAAACCAATTTTCTTACTATACTAGGTTAGATTTGACTCCGCCAGCCCTTCCCTGGCCCTCTCATCTTCAATTACCCCTAAATTCCTATCGACTCTTTCCTCGCTGACATCTACGTGCGATGGAATTAGTAAGTCCATGGATAATATCGAGGTTTTCGTCTCTCCGGCACCGTCTGAGCTATCGTCCTCATCCTCGAAGCCTACTCTAACTGTCGACGTTGGTCGTGGACTAGTTACCAACACTTTAACCGACGCCAGCACATCATCAGACGTCGTGAGTTCGAGAATGTCACCCAATACATCAAGCATCGGGTCTTCGAAGTCTTCCCGCTCATAGAAGAAAATGCCGTCCACCAGACAGAAAAGCGTTATCTCCTCGGGCAATTGTCGAACCAACCAGCCAAAGAGGTGCCTCAACTGCGATAGACTATGACCTTCCTCAATAAGTTCCGGGTCAACACCCGGGGGCAAAAGATTTCTTGGACCAAAATCGTAATCGCAAAGCAGCTGCGCAATGAGACTTCGCATCATCCGCTTGATCACACCTTGTCTAGTCCCCGAGCTGTAGTTATCTTCCTCGTATTGTCCTAAATAAAGACTACTATCAAGATCATCCTCCTCGTCGCTCGAATCGGAGTCCGATCCGTCGTCGTATTCCAAGTGACGGCCGCAAAACCACACGAGGCATAGGTAGTGTTTCCGAGGACGGAATGCCTTTATAAGGGTCGTGCAGAAAATGGATAGAGCAGATGTCTCCACCATGAGGCTGGAGAAGTTGCCATAGATCATCAATTTCATGGATGTTGGCGATACAACCCACTCCTGGAATATTTGACCCTGGACGATCTGCTCTGCCCGTATGCGGTCTTGGAGTGGATGTTCTTTCTCTTTCTCTTCAATGCCCTCGATATCAGCCGTATCGATGTCGGCGATTCCCAACATATTTCACAATTCCTCCTGATCGATGTATGGTGTTTCCGGCCGGAATGGTAGCGATAGTGGAGGTACCGGCGTTGAGTTCAGCCAGCCCGGAGAAGTACTCCGAACGAGATCCCTAAGATATTCAATCTTTTGTGCACCTTCGACGAGAAGTTCTGTGGAAGGGGAGGTATTTATTAGCTAGAATACCCTGTAGGTGTGTTGATCTCGAATGTATTAACTCACGGCTTTGTCTGTAAATTCTATCCTTTTGCTTATGAATTTCGCTATTCTGCCGGCGGATCCTTTCCACCGCTTCTTCATGCTTATCCAATAGCAAGTTAAGTTTGGCATTCATGCCATCAGCCGCGCTGATGAGTACATCAGTATTTTCAATCACTCTCGTGACATTGTCTGCCACTTTCCCTTGGCCTTCTTGAATAAGCTCGAAAATCTGCAGGCTGGCTCGCGAGTCTTGAGGTTGGAATGATGTCAGTAAAAGCTCTAAGGACCGAAGAAGAGGCTGCTTACATCTATGGAAGTCACGCGTATGAGTCTTTAATACCTGTGCCATCAGCTTTTTGCTCCGAGCCGTAATAGCTGTAAGGCTATCGCGGAGAGGCTTTTCGTAATCCCCCCCTTTAGCCACCGCTTCTAGTCCATGGATTACTGACCACGGATATGTTAAAAATGGCACGTAGATTTTGAATAATTGAAGACCTACGACTGGCTCGGGTGAAGAACCGTATGCCCCTTTCTATAGCGAGCAATACGCTCGCTACTAAACTTACGGCTTGCTGGCTTGCGGCTCTTAGGCGCCTTTACCTCTGGCATACTTTTTAATTCTTTCATAGCCGAAGGAAATATCATGTTCCAGTATGTCATTGCCTTACAGGCGTTTTCTTCTGGTTTCTTGCTAGCCTCTGGACCTGGCGTAGGCGATGTCATCTCTGGCACTTCTGCGTGTTGAACATTGACATAGTGCGCATCCTGATTATCATAATGAACTGGTGGATCTTCATAGTATGGATGATACTTTGGAAGTTCATTCTTCATGAAGCCGACTGTTAATATACGACCTTCGTTTTGTGGAAATTCACCTCTGTATTCGGCCATTTCAAGATATATTTTGAAGTACAAATTAGACGGTGGGTAATTTCTCCATTGCATTCTTCAAATCAAAACATAGTCTCTTCTAGGGAGGGGTGGAGAAGAGATTATCCTATGCAATGCTTACATGTCATACCTTTGTTTTATGAAGCGACCAAAGCTAATCATCGGGCGATAACGATATGCAATATTACAGAGCTGGGTAGCTCTTCGCGTGGACCATGTCCAACATTGAACCTACAGGAGGAGTCGGCTGCCTGTGATCGGGGGCCTTGTGATACGAAGTGAACATCTAGCAGTTGAATGGCCAGCTTGGTAGTATGTTGTTACATTATTTCCATGCAGTAGGCCTCAGCTGTATGCAGCCCATACCAGCAATTTCCGCTTGACTCGACTCTAGTATATACTCAGGGTAGAAATAGCGAGTGTTGCAAGAGTTCATGGAGGGTTTGAGTATCCTTGATGATTATCTAGACATATTATCTAGCCTCTTCTGAATTGTCATCGCTTTTATCGCCCCTATTTTCCATTTCCCTTTTTCCCTACATCTCGAAATCCTACTTGCTCATTTCATCTCGCTTCACCATGGCAGGCGTAGAACGAGTAGCCATAAATGGCATATCTTTCGAGTCCCCGCATTTGGACGTCACAGTCGCTAGTGACAAGGTTCAGAAGCCCACTGGCAGTAAAGATGCTTCCAAAGGTCATAACGGAGATTCCTTGGCCATGAATATAGGGCTCTTAAAAGAGATCAAGACTCTTCGACAGCGGCTTTTGGAGTTGGAAAAGGAAGCTCGGCCAACGTTGGTTAGGAAGACTCTCGAGGCGGAATGGGAACATGCAAGGGAGGAACTGGGTTCAGAAGAAGAAAGAAAAGCATGGAGAGAAGAGAAGCGACAACGGAAAATAGGGCTTATGGCGGCCAACCCATTATATATAGGAGGCAAGCAAGACTACAAATATGAGGAGACGTTAAAATACAATGTCAAGCTCTTTAAGCTGCGAAAGAGGTGGGAGCAGAAGATCTTCATGATTAGCGACTCAGAGGATAGTGATCGAACAAGTTCGGACTCTGAAGATGACATCAGTGTCTATCATAGCCGAAATGAAATCTTAGATCGAGCATTTGAAATCGAGAAGGATATTGTCGATGAACATTATAGAGAGAGACGCCGCCGGAGTCTAATGAAACAACGGAGAAAGGAGCAGGAGCAAGCTCGACTCGCGCAGATGGAAATAAAGCACGATACGGAAGAGCCAGTAGAAAATACGTCTTCAAAAACAGTAGAAAAGGCCGTCAAAGAAGCCACCAGCCTTGATGCACGATCAGAGCTGGTTCGGGTTCCGTGGGCCCAATTCAGGGCTCTACGAGGCTTGGACGAGGGTCTTTTTGCTGCAATCGATGTTCTAGTCGGAGAGCCAGTTATTGAATTCAACTTAGATGTCTGCCGGCCCTCGCTCCCGATACATACTCGACAGACTGAGACAACCCAAGCCCATGAGAAGAAGTCTGCATCCAAACTAGACATTGCTCCTGGGGAGTCATCAATGCCGGAACGCTTACGTATTAATTCAAGACATCTACTCATGATTTTTCATAGTATCCTGATGCGTGATGGAAGGATGCTTATTGGAAATGCGCACCTTATATTTCTACGGCCATTCAGATTTTTGGCCTATTATAATCAAGCTATTCGAGAGCGTTACAAGAGTCTTCAAAATGAGTTCGAGAAAAGTCTCGACAGAGATTCTCCGACTAATCACTCTGAAGAATTCTCAAGTCCTCCTAATACTAACAAAGAAGTAGAGGGGGCTCTTCAGGGGGGAACTGTCGACTCAGAGCTATCGTTAAAAAGGGAAATCAAAGAGGGAAAGGATAAAAGATTCATGGATTCGCCAGTCTCATTCGAACATATGAAGCTCCTGGTAGAGTTCATGGATAGTGACATACAGATAAGAGTCGACCATCTTGAAAGTGGCAGATTCCAGAAAGTATTTTTCTCGGATCTCTGGTACCTCTTCCAGCCGGGTACTCTTGTCATCAGGAATAACAGTAAACAAGTATACCGAATCTTGAGTATGCATAGCGTTGGGCATAGAGTCGTTGATCCATTTCGCAGATGGCGTCATATGTCACAGGCAAAAGGGGAAGAAGCATCGATCACGATTAAATGTGTTCACTTTGACTTTGACGGCAAGCAGCTAGGGCCTGTTTCCAAAGTCTTCCGAATCCAGAGGTTCGAACGTGAGAAAACAGTCACATCTCTCGAGATTTACCCCATCCGATTTCACCCATTCCGGAATGATAGTCCTACTGACAACAGGGAGGATGCCGATAATGAGTTTAAAAAATATATCGTCAACCGAGGAAGAAAGTCCCTCAAGGTAGCGGCAGTACGCCTAGCAGCTATCCAGCCCATGTACTATGCTGGCCCCGCCTTACAGACCCAGGACGAAATTGAGAGCCAGGTAGTAGTGGACTTTGAGGCGGCTTTTGGGTCAGAGGAGCATATTTCCAAGGGTTGGAAGCCGGAGCTTGAGACATTAATTGGGTCAGAGAACAGATATGAAGAAACGAATCAGCGGGATAAATGTGACGCGGGTTGCTGTGCTGGCGAGTATATCTACGATGATTCGTATGTTGAGCACATGAGAAACGAGGAGTTCATAGGCCATCTACTCCCTAAAACTCGCGAAGAAATGCCCTCGGTAGCCATAATCCCCCGACCGCTTGACACAAGGGTGCCGGATGCTGAACTTACCGAAGATGATTTAGCCATTATGTCCTACCGTGTATTCGGCTTTGTGCTAAGGAATCGGAAATGGGGTAAGCCTCTTTAGTATCTACACACCGTTGCGCATCCAAAGCTAACATACCAATTTCATAGCCCAGCTAGATCTCACTTATCTTAGTGACGTCCAGCCGTCTGGAACGAGAGATGAGAGTGATAAGGAGGCAAACGAAGGCCCCGAGCGGCCCCGAACAGTGTTTGACCAGCTCGTCTTGCCAGACGGACATAAGGATATGATATTGTCATTAGTCACTCAGCATTTCCGTGACAAAGAATCGAGTCATGACGATCAAGTAGATATAGTTCGTGGTAAAGGCAGGACCCTACCTCAACTATACCTCGAATGCGCGTATGACTTTAATAGTTGACACTACGTCTAGGGAAAGGACTGATATTGCTGCTTCATGGGGCTCCTGGTGTCGGAAAGACAACGACTGCTGGTTAGTTAGTTGATTTCAGCATCTCGCAAATTACATTAGGTACTGACAGTGGTCCATAGGGGGTGGCAGAAAAATTCAAGAAACCCCTTTTCCAGCTCACCTGTGGTAAGTCTTTGTGCCGGTTACTATTCTAAAGCATGGCTGACATGAGTCGCGGCTCATAGGGGATCTTGGGACAACAGCAAAGGACGTCGAATCCGCATTGGAAACGAACTTCGCACTTGCTAGCCGTTGGGGTTGTGTTCTACTTCTAGATGAAGCGGATGTATTTCTCGCACAAAGGACAAAAGAGGACTTCCAGAGGAATGGACTTGTAGCTGGTCTGTACCATCCATTCCCATTCACCGTTTAATATTTAACTAATACCTCCCCTATACAGTATTTTTGAGAGTCCTCGAATATTATGCTGGCATCCTTTTTCTCACTACGAACCGAGTTGGCGACTTCGACGAAGCATTTGCGTCTCGCATTCACATCAGCTTATACTACCCTGAATTGGGCCGGAAGGAAACTTTGGATGTCTTCAGGCTCAACCTGCAGCTCATACGAGACCGCTTTAAAGGCAATCCTCGCAAGTTCAGTCCTGATGAGATGGGAATCGGAGCGTTTGCTCAGGATACTGGGACAAGAATCCATTCGACCATTGGAATGGGCGACAAATTCGCAACGTATGCCAGACGGCATTGGCCCTAGCAGAATACGAAGCCCAAGGCAAAAATCACATGCTTGTCCTAAACCCGAACGCAGAGGTCCATCTTAATGTGTCACATCTCAAGACGGTCGCCGATGCTTATCTGGCATTTTCTAAGCACCTCAAGGACATTTATGGAACTCACGCCGCGCGACGGGCAAAGGAGGCAGGCCTTCGGGCCATGTGGGTCAACGAAAAAGGAGAACTTATGGGAAGTGTTGGGCCGAAGGAGGCGAGTATTCTGAAAGAGGAAAGAAAATCGCGCTTCAAATACAAGTCGCAAGGTAGGTACAACACCACCAGCTATGATCAACAACAAGTGGTTTCCTCCAGTGGTCAAGCTCCTTTGTATCATGGACAGCAGGGATATAATGGCCCTCCTCCGCCCACACAACCCGGCCCAATGAGACCTCCTGAGCACTTCAATGATGCTTCTATGTCCTATCAATACAATAGCCCGAACCCGCAACAACAACAACAACAACAACAACAACAACAACAACAACAACAAATGCGACATCATCAAGGACACAATTGGGATGGTTACGGCACCGGGTATGGCTATGATCAGCAGCAACCCGAAGCAGCTGGACGTAGAGCTTACTCACAGCAGCACCATCTGGAACCGCCAAGGGGAAATTTTTCGCATCCGCAACAAACCAGCCAGCCGCCTCCACATGGTCATACACAAGAGTACAATTAGTCTAGACCTAAAAACGGAATTGATAGAACTCAATACTCAACGTACTAAAATGAACTTGACGGCGATGAAATAATTGAGGTAAAAAGGGGGAGAGATTTCTATGTTACTTAGGTCCTTTATTATAGCTCAATCTACTTCGTATGTGTTTACTTTCCGTTCAAACCTATCCCAGTAGCCCAAGGCCATTATCAACCCGCTGCCAGACAACCTATCAGTAGTATCTTACTATATAGGTATTTTCGGTATAAATGCCTACCTACCTGGTGCTTTGGGTTTACTACTTACGTAGGTGCTTCAAATACATAAACTATAAGAACGTCTATTACGTTCATAACAATTGGACATAACGCCAGTAGGTAGACCATTATACCCATATTCAGCCCCAATAATGGTAGCCCCATGGACAGGTAGTCATAGCACGCAAGTCTCGATATAATTAAGAACTAATCACCCCTATCCACAATATTACCCGTTATGGTCCTTTATTACCAAGCACGAGAACCACTATACCCAAGAGTATGCCACTCTATCACGGCAATGATTTCCTATGGCAATAAATTAAGTACTTATATTTCCCCCACACCCTTTTCCGCCCACGCCCCGTCTTCGGCTTCTTCTCCTTCTGTGCGGTTGCACTAACTACTCCTAATTCTTCTCCCATAAGCCGAAGACTATCGACAACGACATACTTCCGAAGTCTACCTATGTTAGATGAGACTAAGGATGGACGTGGGACTATGCAATTGGCTCTCCGTGGCGGAGAAGGACGGCTGAGCCCGCGAGTATAGATTAGCAAAACAAAGCTTATTGGGATCCTTTGACGGGAACTCTGATGCATGCAAGCCTATCATGCAATGTATAATCTTTAGTCGTCGATTCTTTTATTCTATTGGTAACAATGGACATAGTAGGAGGGATACAAGCCAAATGTCTCGCGTATACGGTATATTCGCAGTATGGGAATAGGTGGCAGACGATCTAGATAAAACTGTAGCAAACAGTTTCGAAACATGCAATTAGTTGGAAATATTCTCCCTACTTAGGCCTACCTAGGTACCTAAGCTGTTTCTTCTGTCGAGAATTTTGTAACGACAAAGTAACCCCAGATCCCAGATAGATTCCATTGTTTCCGATTTCATCTTGATAGCCGTGCACAGACCACTTATAAACTCGTCCAAAGAACAATGGAACGATCAACCCATGTGCGTCGAGTCCAGCTAGTCGGATGTTTAATCCAATAATATACTTCTGTAGATTTTGACAACATGCAAGGACAACATGCAAGGACCCTGAAGATCCGCGAAAACCCTTTGACAGCGGCCATTGGGCCATGCAAGCCATAATCGTTTCAAATGCTAACCTGTTCCTATCAACAAAGCTCGTGGCTCTTTAGTAAGCTACTGCCGCTTTGCTGACAACACTCCTTTGAGGCGGCATTGGGAGGAGAATCGGAGCGATAAACCAATAACGGAGCGGTACTACGGCGGAATGCGATCTCGTGCATTCTAAGCTACGGTTGTAAGACGGCGGCCCCCTTTTTTTCGATCCACCCTAGATCCCTGGACCCCAATATCACACTCCCTCCAGATAAAAGCGAGATAAACAAGCTTTCTTAATAAACCAGGGACTAGGAAGACTGGAGTGGTGTTATTTTCCCTTTCTAAAAGCACGTTTTCAGGGCCGGACGCTTCCACGGCATTGACGAGGCCAATATGGGGGACTCATTACGCGTCGTTTCCGGTTCGAAAATTTATTTTTTCTTTATGGGCCCCATTTCACCACCAATCGGCTTACGTGGCTTCGCCTCTGATAGCAAGTTCATAATTAGTTTCTGACGCCTACGACGCCTAACGCCGCGGTGGAACATCTGATGCTGTAAGAATCCTATTGTGTGTGTGTGTGTTGGATGATGGCGTCGAGTCAAAGGGATCTGGAGGACTCGATGTGAGTATACTTAAGGGGGCTTGTCGCCTCCTCGTCGATAGTCAATATGTTGTCTTTCTCTCTATCCAGTTCTCACTAGTCCACTCCTTCACTTAGATCTATACACTTGAACCAGTCTTTTTCTTTAAGCATACTTTATACTACACTCTTTTTCCATTTTTAAATATTCTATCCAGTTAGAAGGATGTTGAGGTCACTCTTTACACTCACCAATCTTCTTCTATCTACTGCGGTAGCCTTGCCATCCGGCATTATACGAAGTAGCCATATTTCAGGCGGCCTGTCCGCCCGGGGATCCTGCGCGACGCAAGCGTCCGACGCAACTAACGACGGCGACCAAGGAGGTGCCGGGATTAAACTAAGCAACAGCGGTAGCGGATCTCGCAGCTTCTTCGTGTATGAGAACAGCTGCGACAGCATACCGCTCAAGTATGTGACTGTCAGTGCCAAAGAGACCAAGTTTGTAGCGTTACCGGAACTGTTCCAAGGCCGCATCGTGCGTGGCTCCGATGCCAACTTAGACGGACAGCCACACTTGTTAGGCACATGGCTCGAGATCGGACTAGATGGCACTGGCAAGGGATACGGCGATATATCACTGATTCGAGGTTGCGATGGTCCTGTGACTCTTGACGCCGAAGACGGGACCGGTGCGGCTACCGGCTTCGATGACCTGAGTGTATTAGCAGATGCACCCGAGGGCGTCTACGAGATCGAGAGTGACGGGACGAAAGTTATCGAGGCTACTGAGGGCCAGCTTTCTGCCGTCGTCGAGCCCGTTAGGGACTACCTCGCTAGCAAGCTCGGCTACGAGAAGGCATACATCGACGACTACCATGGCAATCCCGTCATCTGCTCCTCCAACGAACGATTCAGTGCTACGTTCTACTAGGAGAGCAATAAAGGCCATCGCATAAGCTTGGGACTTCGGCGTGGCGTTTAGAGAACTTGGAGACATGAGGAAGTTTGATACGACCGGTATTTAGCTGGGTTAAAACAAGTTCATAAAGTTTGAGGATATCAGTGGAAAGGCAGAGCCTGTTATTGGCTTCCTCAGCATTCTTGTACATATTATATCCAGGTTTTGGGATATATCCACCTGGAAATTTGGCATATGGGCATTGCTCTGTGGGCAATTTTCACTTCTACGGCATATTAAATTGACAAAGGGGCGAACTGATAGTTATTTTTGCTTATACCAAATGATATTATACCTTTGAACAACTTGAGATTTTGATCATGAAATTTTCAACTTATCTAAGCTTAGAGTTGTATTCAATTTGATACAGTATTGCTTGACTTAGTCACTCTGAGCTGGTTATTCTAAGAGGAGTGTCATTTATTTCTACAACTATCATTTCTCCCCCTACTTGTCTTTTATTACGGAAATACAATATATCAAGTTCTATATCAAGTTATAGTTACTAGGTACCTTATACTGAAATGTTGCATCTGATGAAGAAAACGTGGGGCCCGTCTCCTCCCACAGATGTGTTGAATACGATAGATATTTTCAGCAACTAAGAATCTAGGCCCTGGGGAAACGCTCAGTTCGTCCTAACGGGCACGACCCGAGAAATAGTCAATACTATATTAGCCAGGGGTATAAAGCGCTCAACTAGTACCTAATCCCTCAAACCGGACGAATAATATACATAGTAGCAAAAGTGCAGCGTTAGCCTGTAGAATAGCTCCTTATTCTCCTAAGTTAGCGATCTTAAAATTAATCGAATGCGGAAATATGAGCTTAGCTGGGGCCGCTAGTAACGTAGTCGTTTATAGTTCTTCAGCTGAGCTTCAAGATCAGCAGTAGGGCCTCTAGACCGCCGGCGCCAATTGCGCCACTTAATTTCGGTAATCGAGTTCGAGACTAGAGAGGAACGTCGTACGTGATTTATATATTATCTGCGTAGAGCCGCAACTTTTGTTGAAAGTCAGTGTATACCCCAGGTTGTCGTTTAGAAGTGAGAGGCAGTCTTCGTTCGTTTTAAACTATCACTTCCTCGTAACGTGAGGCTTCTATTTGATCATGTTGTTTAAATACATAATCTCGGCCGCAACCTTGTCCGCCTTTTATGAGGTGGCGAATGCGAGCAGATGCAGGCCGAGAACGTCGAGTAGTGAGCCAATCCCGACGACCTCTTCGTATAGTTTGGTGCCCTCGAGCACGTACGCAGTCTCTATCACTACTTTATCGTCTTTTGCTTCCGCTACGAGCTCTGTAGCTATATCTTCAACAATCAGCGACAGTTCAATTGCATCAAGCACTGAATCTTCGTCCATAATTCCCTTGACGAGTTCTTCATTGAGTTCCTCAGTAATATCATCGACCGAGAGCATAATAGCAACTGAGACTGCCTCCTCAACAAACTCCTCGGAAATCTCATCGTCGGAGAGCGTATCGGCGACTGAGACGATCTCCTCAACAATATCCTCAACCACCTCCTCGATTAGCAGCGTCGAAACCTCGTCAACTATCACTTCATCGAGTATTACCCCGTCAAGTACTTCCTCGTTGGAGATACCTTCAACTACATCGTCAACTACGTCCGCAGAGCCTACCCCTACTAACATTCAAGTGAGTTACATGATGTAAGCATAGGGAATTGTCACTAATTTTGACACAAGGCCGTTATAAACTCTGGCTTCGAGATCGCGGATCCTATCATATGGACCTTTCCAGGATATAGGCTTGACATGGCCGCCAGCGGTTCGCTAGACACGGACCCATTCTCGGGCTCGCGATCGTTCATCGCGCAGGGACTACCAGGCCTCTGGCAGATCCGCCTACAGCAGACTGTGTCGGTCGTGACGGGCCAAGCATACTCATTCCAATGTAAGTAAATAGACCCACTATATAACTCACTATATCCTGCTTTGAGACATAATATCTAACCAACCTGAAGATACTCTCAAGATGGACCCACCCGCTGGGTGCGTCATGGACGTGTTGATTAACAATGTGCGAACGCGGCGGCCTAACCTAACTCAGAATCGGGGCCTGTACACGACTTACACCGACCCATGGACCGCAACGAGCGATACAGCAACGATTTTGTTCAGCTCGCAGTGCAGCGCGGGTGGCCCGGCAAACAAGTTGTATTATGATGATATTACGTTGACTACGGTCGACGCGCCCGAGGTTACGATACCGTAGAACTCTGAGGCTGGTTGAGAGAAACGAAATCCGAATGTTATCATCGCATATATAGTAGTCATAATATATAGACCTAATGCCCTTCGATGGATAAAGAGGTGAAATCTCTGAAATAGAAGTTTCAGTAACTCTAAAATCTAATGTAGAAAATTGGAAAATTTAATTAGCTTGATAAAGATTACCTAAGTACCTAGATCCAACCAATAGGGTTGCGCAAATGACATAATTACATCACCCCACTTGCCTGTTTTTGGGACAAAAACGCAACCAGAATATATTATGCTACAACCTTAAAATAATTACGTTCTGTTTCTACAAACCAGTTTTTTCTAAAAACTTTAGGCAGTGTGGCCGAGTGGTTATGGCGCTGCGTTCAGGTGTACCTGAATTACAACTTCGCAGTGGAGCAATCCGCGTGGGTTCGAGTCCCACCGCTGTCATGATTCTTTTTGATGATGTCACCTATGTACAAAGATATCGATATCATTTCCTTTTTGACTTGTCATACTCCTTATTACTTAACATGATATGAAATCTTTAGCTCTGCTAAACTCCTCTTGTTAGTCAGCGAATTAGAGTTTCTAGGACAATGTCTTAATTCTAAATCAAGGTCTTGTGCTTTGCTAATCCTCCTACAATCCTCTCCTGCGGTTCGGATTCATAAATTGTTATTTAAGGAAACCAGGATAGCGAAACATGTATTTGGTAAGGGGGTCGAGCGAGAGATTTATTCTAAACTCATCATCCCCATCAGACTTTGAGGAGAATAGGAAAGAAACAGAGTCAACACTGTGTTTGTGGCCTGGCAATTAAGCCATTTAGCCACCTCTTACGATGTATTTGTGATATGGACATTTCTCGTTGCTTTATCAAAAACAAGTAACTACCTAGGTTAGGAAAACATATGTATGCTGAGTGATTGTGTGTTGACAATAATGTTTATGGGAATACCGTCAAATTAGCATAGCTTGTTTGTCCATTCGACATTTTACCAATATGTCACCGAAGCGGGGTCTGAGCCCCCAACTAGTCGGCAATCCATTCATTAAAAAGGAGAATTTAGAATGGACTTTCGATCTTTCCCGCCCAACCCGCGACAGTGGTGAAGAGGGTAGCTCCGATGAGATAGGTAACTACGGATCTGAGGTGGAAGAAGAGGAACCAAGGGCTTCGGCTGTAGAGGCGGGCAAGGCCAAGATCGAGGACCATCTCGGTTACTTCAGCGGGCTTTTAACGAAGACTATACTGTCGCCTTTCCCGTCGGATATACCAGGACTATCTATCGGAGCCTACCGGAAGCTTTGAGCAAAACTCGGGTAATCCTCGAGGCGCGCATTTCGTTGTGCATCAGCATGATCATCCTATTGCAGGCACGCATTACGATCTCCGGTTACAGATCAACGAGACAAGTAGCGCATCCTGGGCTATCATGTATGGGCTCCCAGGTGATCCTAACAGCCAGCGTTTAAATAGGAACGCCACGGAGACAAGAATCCACTGTTTATGGGTATGTTCCCCTAAACCTAACTGGGGTTCCCATCCTGGTTTCCTCTACTAACCCCAGTGTCCTTCGTAGAATCATCTTATAGAGACAGCCTCAGTATCGACTGGCTCTCTTATCATCTGGGATACGGGGACGTACACTATTCTCCCACCGCGAGAGACTAGCAGACGCACTAGCTGTAACTCGCAATCTGATGAGGAAGAAAAATCGCCCGAGCTCACGGAGCAGGAGAAACTCCATCAGACATTCCAGACACGGAAGATCCGTATCCGTCTTAACGGCACACGCTTGCCGCGTAACTATGTGCTAAACCTACGGCTCACCAAGGAAGAAGACGTAGCCGGCCGCGCTAAGAGCACACGCACGCCCACGTGGCGACGGAGGCGAGGAGCTCCAGCACAAGGCAGAGACTCGGCCAGGGGTAAAGGGAAGGGCAAGGCAGTCGAGCCAGCGACAAGCTCGGGCTCAGACTCGGGCGGAGAGCCCTCAGAAAACGAAGAGTCGGAAATTGTAAACGCGCCCGTCGAGGATGTTGACGAGCACGGGAGTCGACTCACGTTCCCGTTTTACGTCCGTGGTGTCGAGGCTGAGAGGAGCGTTGTGACGGGTCGGACCGGTGGTGACGTTTTAAAGGATGAAGGTGTTGTTGGGTATATTGGACGGAAGGGATGGCGGCCTGTTTTGAATCGAATTGGCTGACGGGCTGGGCACGGTTGGTAATTGTTAGGATTCTATCTTTGAACTCTTTTAAGTTAAGGAAGATTCCGTATTACTATTACGTTAGGTTAGATAGAGAGGCTTTTCTATTAATATTAATATAAGAATAGGTACTACAGGAGTAGTGCACGGGATTTTTTAGGAGAATTATATTATTATCCGCATAAGAAGATACATATCATATGGGCCCTACGCCTGTCTACTTTCTCTTAACAATGCTGATCTGACCATTCAAGATGTCTGGACTCCCGTAGGAAATAAAACGCAGAGATGCAGCCAATCTCTTGCCCCTATTTTCATCACCTTCGTTTGTCTTTCTCCAATAACCTAGTGAACGGAACAACATGACTAGCAATATAATAGGAGGCAAGAAGATGGCCGATACGAATAAAAACATGGCGGCGGTTACGAGAATAACATCGGTTATGTAGGGCGTATAGTAGAGGAGGATAAACACGGTGAAACCCGTCATGATGCAGAACCATCGGCTTGGAAGCGGAGAAGAAAACCAAGCATCGCACGCAGCCTCCTCCTGCGCCTGGCGAAGGTGTTCGTCGTCTATATCTGCCTCGATTGTCTCGTCAGCATCATACTTTGGCCAGACCAGCTGTAGGATGATAACCCACACGCAGCGCTGCAGTGCCGAATACCGCTTTTATTCGTAGGCTCGGGGACGTCCTCCCCTTCGTCAAACAATAATTCGTACCAGCCATGCGGTAGGTTTAAGTGCCGAGTGAGATCTTCCGTGTTTAAGTATACGAAAGGTCAGTTCTTAGAGTTTGGACTGTTCAAAGCTCTGACGAGCGTAATCGGATGGTCTGCTTGTCAACATTAGATATAATTACAGGTCTGCTCCGATAAACCCAGGATCGTGTCCAATATTCTGCAATAGGAGAATTTCAATATTACTGTGAAAGTCTACTGTAGTATGTACCTCAAGTCGAGGACCTATAGCGCGTAACTCGAATCATCAATATTCTCATGAGTATAGAGCTGGCCGTGATGAGTTTCCAATATCTACCTTCCAAGACATTAATCGACTGCCACGCATGCCTAACCGTGTGCAGCTTATAGAATAAACTCCAAGATGTAATTTGTAATTATCGTTCCATCCATCCACAAGCAATGTCAAAATGCCCCAAGCGGGATATCCTATGATACGCGGATCCTTAAACTCCAACCCTGATGCTGTGCAATATGATGCAACCGCTAACACTGTTTCGTATCGTGTACTCAGCTGCCGTAACACCTACCTCCTGCTGTCTTAAATCGTGAAACTAACGGGCCAACCTCTTGCGTTTTTTATCCGTATCTCATAGGCGCTTGACCCTGAGGCGGTGCTTGTCCCCATCCCGGAGGTGGTCCTTGTTGTGGAGGTCCTTGCTGTGGCGGTGGTTGATTCTGCATCGGAACATTATTCCCTTCCCCGCCACGTCGCATCGCCTGAGCGTCAGGTCGGTGTTCTAACGGCTGCGCGAAGTTGCAGATATGGCAGACGACGTCCTGGTAGCCATGGATAGAGAGCGGGACGACGGGCTGCGTTTCGTGTTAGCATCTCTTTCGAGGCTTCTCAGTTTAGGTAGGTATAGATGGCGCGCTATAGACTTACCACGAAGCAAAAGGTGAACCAAGGATTGCTTTTGATGATATGGCCGGCGAAGTTGCCGCAGTTGTGGCATTGACAGACAACACCCTCGTATCCTTCTACCTCTTTCCTGAAGGTGTGCTCACCGCAGGTGAATATTAGACACATGTTGACCGAGTGCTAGAACTCTATCGCAAGTGATATTTGCGCTACGTAGACGGATTCGCGCGTTTGAAAGGTGGCCAAGACTCAAGAGAGTAGCAGGTTAAACGATGTTGACGAAGGATTAAGAATATGTTTACTACTTTTCTGATTATACAAGGATTAAGTCGTAGGATGTAGAGGTAACAATTAGTAAAATCAATTTATTCTCTGTCAGTGCCATGCTGGCTGAAGAAGTATTCGCATCGTCGGGCGAGATGCGCGTCACCTTGGGGGGCTGTGCTTTAAAGGCCAAGACCCAAGACTGGAACCAAGACAATATTCCAATTAACCAAGTCTAAATTCCAATGCAAGGAAAATGGGAATTAAATATGTCCTAAATTACCTCCGTCGCACAGCATTATCGATAGTGTAGAGGTACCTATAGCCCCACTAGATTGTACCTAGGTTCCATACATAGGTACCTGACTACTTGCCTATCAAATATCTGGACAAGGACCTGTAGCTCAAAACTTCAAAACTTCAAATATTCACACTCCAGTCACCAATGACACCAATGACACCAATGACACCAATAACACCAATGACATAGAATTAAGCCTCGAAATGCTCATTAGCCCCATAACAAGATGCTCTACGACCTCAACATCGCCTGGTCGTCTTCCATCAGCACCGCCGAGCTCGAGCGCACATTGAGGTTCAGCTCGCAACTCGGCTACAATGTCGTTGCGCTGAACCACAATCTCGACGCACCCCTACCCTCGCAGATCCCGAACCCAATCCCCCAACTCGCCCGCCAGCAGTGCATCCCCACCGTCCTCCGCCGCCTAACTGTTAATTTCTCAGACCCGTCGCAAAACCAGCAGCTCCCCAAAGCTGCGCAGGCCTATGATATTCTAGCACTCCGCCCGCAAACCGAGAAGGCATTCCAGGCTGCCTGTCTTACCGTCAGCACCACCGAGGTTTCTATTATCTCGCTGGACCTCACCGCGCGCCTACCCTTCCACCTGCGTCCTAAGCCATGCATGGCCGCCGTCGCGCGGGGCCTGCGCTTCGAGGTCGCCTACGGTCAAACGCTGAGACCCGATGCTGACGCCCGCGCTCGCGCCAACTTCGCCGGCAATGTGATACAGCTCGTGCGCGCGACCCGCGGCCGCGGCCTAATTTTAAGCAGCGAAGCGGCCGATACCATGGCCCTGCGAGCCCCCGTCGACATTGTCAACTTGCTCGCCGTATGGGGTCTCCCTACCGATAGGGGTATGGAGGCGCTGGGCGTGAACCCGCGGGGTGTGGTGGTGAACGAGGGGATTAAGCGAAGCGGGTTTAGGGGTGTGGTGGATATTGTAAACGTGGCGGAGCGCAGCGAGGAGGAGCAGTCGAAGCTATCGAAGGGCAAGGACAGGGAGGTGGTGGAAGTAAAAGATAATAGAAAAAGGAAGAACGGAGGGGGCGAGACAGCTGAGAAAGGAGGGGGCGGTGGAGAGAATGCGCCGGTCAGCAAGAGGCAGGCGAAGAAGCTCAAGGCTGCGTTAAGAAAAAAGGAGGTTGAGCAAAAGGGAGCTCGGTGAAGAATGAACGAATGAATGAACGAAAAGACAATTGGTATATCAAGATTTACATACGGTGATGGCGTTTGGAAGAATAGATCGGCGAACTGGAGATACCCTTATGAAATATATTATATATTCTCGCTCACTTGTACATATCACACTCACGCATCTCAACGACTCGGTTCAAGGCCAGCCTCGACTCAATTATTTGTTGCTTATTTATTTCAGCAGCGAGAAGCGAAGCGAAGAAGTCAAAAGCTATATACATACAACTCATGTGCTCCTAGCATCTCGTGGTAAACGTAAGCCGTGGTTCTTTCTCTTCTCCATACCAACTAAATAACCAACCAGCCAAGCCAACCAGCCAAAAATGGGGGCTACTTAAATCACGTCTGCGTGCATATATTGGAATATGAAAAAAAATGAGAAATGGAAGCGTGGAAGGGAATGGTACTAGTGGTGCTGATGATGATGATGATGATAATTATTTTACAGCCTGCAAATCCGAGCAAAGCGCAAACGGCGAATCTGCTGCGGAGGGGTATTTCCTATCCCTTTTTCTATCTACACGACCTCAGCAGTCCTCCCCAGCCATCTTCCGCGCCTAGACGCGGCCGAGAAGTCCCAGCGTCAGAACGTTCGTCAGCGTGACGCCGTTGAGGTTGATCGACGGGCCCTCGTTGGCGCCAGCGAAGGTCGTGGCGGTAACGGCGGGCACGGCGGGGGTCACGTTGCTGCCGGCGTTGTTGGCGGCGGGCGGGGTCTCGATCGGGAGAGCGAGAGACGATTGCGCTGCGAGGGGGACCGTGATGGCTTGGGCTGTCGAGGCTGGGGCGGTCGTTGATGGGGCGACTTCGGGCAGTTGAAGGGTGGAGTCCGCGGTGGGAGTCGCGACCGAGGTGCTGCTGGAAGAAGAGACGACTGCTACGCTTGAGCTGGATGGCGTTTCGACTGCTGAGGAGGACGAGGGCGAGGACGAGGACGAGGACGAAGACGAAGACGAAGACGAAGGCGAGGCGGAAGATGCGGACGACGTGGTAACAGCTGCGGCACTTGATGTTTCTGCTGCGGCACTTGATGTTTCTGCTGCGGCACTTGATGTTTCTACTGCGGCACTTGATGTTTCTACTGCGGCACTTGATGTTTCTACTGCAGCGCTTGATGTTTCTACGGCCGAAGTCGCGGGGACAGAAGTCGCCGCTGCTGATGTCGATAGTTCAGCGGCAGCGGATGAAGTGGCCACGACGGGACACTGGGCCGGGGAAGTCTCCGTGACGGTTACCGTAACACTAGCACTTGTCGCCGGAGCTGCTAACGATGCTGGGACGGCAGCAGCCGAGGAAGCTGCCTTTGCAGCAGACGATGCGATGGCTGAAGCCTGGTCTGCCGGGACCGGAGCACCAACGGGCGTGCCGCATGCGATCATTTGCATCATGGTAACCGTTGATACTTGGGTGACGGTCGTGGCCTGCGTTATAGGCTGCATGATGGTAGATACCTCGGTTACTATCGCTGCTGGAGCCGACACTGTTATCGTGAGCGCCGCGCCGGTACTGAAGACGGTCGTTGTGATGAACGACAGTTGGGCTCCGCTGTTTACTATTGTTAGCTACTATATATACCACCAGTCTTGCGGTAATATACGAACAGTGCGTCCCCGATGCCACCAGCGGCGGAGGCAGTTTCAGTGACTGTTACCGTCTGGGTGACAGCCGCTGTGCCGTTGAATCCGCCTACCGCACCGGCTCCTACCGTAATCGTCTGCTTCACTGTCTCGGTGACGGTGACGGCGCCATTTTGTCCTTTGCCTTTATGGCCATTTTCGTTGCCGTTGCCGTTACCATTGCCCCCTTCATTGCTACCGATGCCGAGACCGCTGAGCAGCTGATCTAACAACCCTCTCTTCACTGGTTGATCATAGTAGCGATATGTGCCGGCCTGCAACTAGATGAGTATGGTTGATCGTAACGTGATAAAGTAGTACGCACCTGAACAAGCGACAAGGAACCCAGCGCGGATAGGAGAAACGTCGAGCGCGATACCCTCATCCTTAAGATGTAAGAATTAGGAGCGATCACTCACTCACTAATACCCTTGGTATGGCCGTGATGCGCAACGACGATCCAAGTATATGGATGTAATATAATTAAATGAAGGATAAATAGTATGAACAGACCAGCCGTTTTCCAATTACGCGGGATCAACCCGATGGATTTAATTTTCAGTGAGCGTAGCGAATATTTGATCGTTCGAGACTTGGCTTGAACGGGCTGTCGATATTATGGAAATGAGAGAATTATACCGGATCGGATCCGAAAAAAAGCATCAAATTAGGCGCGTAAAGCACTTAGGGAGCGAAAGGAACGACAGACGAGCAGGTCTCGAAACAATCAAGCAAGCATCACGCGGAAGCTGGGTGGCGCTTAGGAGTTGAAGCCATCGAGAGGAAACACCAGATCACAGAAGGGGAGAGATGGAAAATCGACCGAGGGGGGGAGGGGGGAGGAATCACAGCACGATAAGTGGTAGATGGGATTACTATAGTAGGAAATGGGGCCATACTACGCGGCCAGATCGAGAGCCTCAACGAAAGAAGATGAATTTTCACACTTCTGAAGCTCGTTTCGACCGGGGGGTCCAGCAACATTAGCTAGCTAGCTAGCTCCAGTCCCTTTTCCCTTTTCCCTTTTTCCCTTCGAGCGCGGTCTATTACTATGTAACTCTACATAGTACAATACATACATACCTACGGCAAATTTCATGCAGGCTGATGCAGGTCGAGGCTTGACAGCTCGCCCAGTCTGGTGTTGGCGATAGCGCAGGGGTTTCCCGAGTTAGTGGAATTTCGTCAAGCGTGCTGAGGCTCAACGTCCCGGTCGGGAAGCGTGGCCGAGCCTGGGGTCCGATTGTGGCAGGGGTTGAGACACCGCCATGACAAAGGAGGTGTTTGAAGCTAGGGGGGTTCAACATATCCCCTGACGAACTGGCGACGCGATAATTCATGATACTCGGTAGATAGCATTGATGATAAGCGAACTGTCTTATTCATCCTTCGCTGAGACAAGTTACATTACTGATTCGAAGGTGACGAAAGGGCCCCCCCTTCATTTTCTGTGTTGTAGGATCGCTTAGATTGAATTGGAGTCTCATTGAATTGTCATAACTTATCGTAAGTTTCGGGAGGAATAGGGCTGAGGCAGGCCATAATTCTTGGAATGCTAGCGGCGCAGTCGTTTTAATTAATTATTCGGAAAGGAAGATTTTACGAGAGAGGGGCGAATGGAAAAGCCCACTTGTACATAAGTTATCGTGGGTTATCGTGGGTTACGCGGGCGCCTCTTCGGATATAGCGTCTTCTTGGCACGAGTTTCAGCATGTGGAGATCAACCAGTACGCCTCAAATATCATAGTAATACTACTCCCATATTCGTATCGTCAACCGCCACAGGGCTGTTAGATGCTTGTGAAGATGAGACAAGCAATGATCCATTGATCGGAGGGATCTAGCGTCATCGGTATTCAGCTAGCTAGACGACATGTGTGGATTAAGTAGCCAAGATCCAGCTGAGGCGACGAAGATCCCGAAGTTCACGATGATGGGAAATGTTACTTTGTCCATATCTCGTATATACATTGCCGTGTATAGACGATATTCCCTGGGGCGAAAAAGAAGCTGATAGGCTACGGCTAATATAGCAAATCTGTCAAATGGCTGTCGTAGAACATCCACTTAACCTAGTTACATAGCAACATATGTAGAAAGATTAGACTAACCGAATCCCTCGATTCTCGATATATCTATGTATGTGGACGGGGAAAGGCTTTAGACAATCCACATTTGGGAGGTTCCGTCTTCACGATATGCCTCGCCTTGCATTATCCCCTTTAAGAAGCAGTCGCCCTTCAATGTCCACTGTGACCCGTTTCTCCTTAAGATAAGAGGCACTTTTGCCCCTGCCACGACAGCGACTTCGTCATCTATCTCCGTCAAAGCGGATCCTAAGCCGATGTACCCTTTGTCAGTCCTGAACACTCGGCGGTCTGCCAGCGACGATAGGGGGATTCTGAAGCCCAAGGTCATTTGGTCGGACCGGTCATAGAATAGCATCGCATGAACCAAATAGACTATCTTATCTACCAGCCAGTCCGGGAAAAATCTAGGCAAGCGTCTAAGCCATCTTACTACTGTAGCATTCCTCTCCAAGATTTCCAGCTGTGCACGTAATATTTCGGTACTTTCGTGACTGGATCCGGCCGCTAATGTCTGGGCAAAGGCATCCCGAATCGGTTCGCCAGTAATGTAGGCCTCCGACTCCCAGAGTCTGACAACACGGCACCAATCATCCAAGACAAAGGCACACTTTGGAATACGGATACCATGGTAGTTCGTCCGTGGGAGATGCTCTAATCTTAGGACTGTACCAACAGCGGTAATACGATCTACCCGGTGGCCTTGGACGCCCAGTACGTTTGAATCTGTATCGAGGATAATCTCAGGCTTTGAAAGTCCGCTTGCTGTAAAACTTAACTCGTTGATATCGGAGTAGTTTGCCAGGCCTAAAGGCGCGGTGAGTCGAGTATTGGTCCAGTCAGGTACCCAAGATGGCAAATCACAAGGACCGGCGCCAGAAAAGCGCCGAGGAACAGACAGCAAGTTAAGATCTGGTGAATGCTCGAGTATCTCCTTTGCTACGGCAGTATACAACTCCGCAGTGCTAACGTTATAATTCGGTTGCAAGGCCCGAGTCCCGGAGAGCTCGCTTTTGATCAAAGCATTCAACCCAAAGACCTTATCCCGAGGATCGGTAGCATCGAGTATCCGGTATCGAAAGAGGACGCTGAGGAGGCTTCGTCGGATCCCTGCGCGCCACTCTTCGCGTGCTCTCTCGATGATGAAGACATAGGCGTTACGCTCATGGTCGGAGAGCCATAAGTTTAAATGATCTTGGGCAGTGATGGCAGCGAGAAGATCAGTCCAGCTGATATGCGAGTTTCCACAGAACACCGTGGCGTCCGTCGCTAATGCTAGCTCTTGGACTACCCAGACTCTCGTGAACCACAATCTTTCGATGATCCGAGCAAAAGCTGATAGTCGGGGGAACTCGGACTTATCCCTGAATTTTCCAAATAGCTGAAGGGCAAGCTCGTCGTCGAAACTAATGGTTACTAGCGAACCACCGTAGGAGGTATATTGATGACAGGCATAGGCGATATCTGAAGCCACCGCGATGCCCCTATCACTTTCGTCCCTCTCTTCGCCGAGCCATATCAGGACCCGGTCAGCTTTCGAGTATATATCCTTCATGCGACCAACTTGACTTCCTCGCTCATTACTGTCATTCTGGTTTATACAAATGGCTTCTGCCCATAAACTTCTCTTCTCCGACGGTGAGCGAAAATGGTGCAGGACAGCGTGAAGGCCGGCGGTAATGGCTAAAGGCTTGCCGTTGCATATGACGCCGACTTTATCGTGGTGATGGCCCCAGGCGTAGGAGATGGCTTCGTAGGGAGGCGACTCGCCTATATCCCCGTGACATAGGATGCATTCTAATGGTTCTTCCCCCGAACCGGGTAGTAACGTAAGGATTCGGAATTGGTTACATTCAGGCTCGGCACCAAACGGGACATAGCAATAAGAGTCCATTAGTACGGCTTCCACGAGTAAAGCATCTTCAACAACCACGCGAGAGGGTTACCGTTAACGCAGCACCTGTTCATTTGTGGCCAACTAATACGTGATATTTGGGCTTGATAAGGTAATGTTCAGCTTAAATAATATATATTAATTGTGTAACAAATAATTATTAATATATGCTAGTTAATCTTTTTTAACAGATGTTTGCTACCAAGGCAAGGGATACCATATTTAACGCCATCCAGGCAGACAGAAATAGTTCATAGACTCAACGCTTGTGAGTTAGGACTATCACATACCTAATATTCTTAGCTAGTACAACATCTCAAATGTTGAAGAGTATGAATACCTTATTTTTTTTCTAGATCGTTTAGTTTATGCCAGTCATTGTCAAGGTCACTTCACTTATGTACGTATGTATCTATGAACAGGCGATAAGTATCATATAGACCAAAAGGTATGTCCATAAGAGGACCAAGCTTGTTTACTTTAAAGTGACTAGACCTCAGCAACTCCACGATAAAAATTCACTGCCTGAGAAGTCGCGTCTTTAGGTGGGTAGATTAAATCTCGACGAGATTCAATTAAAAAAAAATAATGTGATTGGATGGATGCTTATACGCGACTTAAAATATAGCGACAGTACGTACACGTGCGTGCTGCCCCGTGCTGCCCCGTGCTGCCCGTGAATACATACTATGTAATTGGTGGGACTAGTTGGTGGGCCAACAAGTGGGACTAATTACAAAGGTGGAAAGAGCTATGACCAGGAAAATATAAACAAGAAAAATAAGAAGCCCGCAGACCTTGATTTTGACCTTATCCCGTATTTGTTGAACATCGAACGTCACTTCACCTTGAACAACCTCAAAACCTCAACCTTGCAATTCGGTCAACGCCTCGACCAAATTACATTGTCCAAGGCATTGTTCGATTGTTCGATTATTTAAGTAGGTAATTCCTTTATACATCTTTTTTTTCAATTATATTGCATCATGGAAGTTGCAACTCCTCCGAAGCGAATGACGCGTGCTAGAGCAGCCGCGAAGGACGCTGCAAGCACCAAAAGCACCGCGACCGCTGCCACCATCGCCACCACCACCAAATCCGTAGCCAAGGCAGCTTCAGCCCCGACAAAAAGGACCGCAACTACATCGCGTCCTGCTAAGCGGAAGACTCGATCCGACGAAGAAGATGAAGACAACCAACAGACGGATTCTGAGCAAACAGGTACCATGAATAGGCCGGCCAAGACCAGAGGAAGGCCGAAGAAGGTTGCCCAATCTGAACCTGAACCCGAACCCGAAACGGAGGCTCCTGTTCACAATGCGCCAACCGCATCTAAGCCTACGCGTGGTCGAGCTAAGAAGGTTGCCACAACAGCACCTACAGCTCCTAAACAAGAACCACCAACAAAAACTACACGCACAAGCACGCGAGCCAGAAAAACGGCTGCTGGTGATGGTGAAGGTGATACCGCGACATCTACTGAACCGGTTAAGAAGACTACGCGTTCGCGTGCTACAGCCGGTACTAAAGCAGCCACTGGTATAGTCACCACAGATGTTTCCACAGAGCCTACACCAGGCCTAAAGTCTGCCGTCTCTAGGCCTGCGTTTAGGGCC